CATTCCCCCACCCTCACTCATCAGTCACTCTCACCCATCTTCTCTTCGTGTCTTGTCGAGAATGCCGCAAATTGCTGTGTGCCCTTGACTCTTTCAGCCTGTCGGGTCTAAAATGAATTCGATAATGTAGCTATTTAATCTCACAAGGGAACTTTAGACATGCCACATCTTGTAGAAAAATCAATTTCAGTCTCATGACGACTCTTAGCGTGTTATAATCTATAGGTTGGAAACTTCTAAGCTCGTGTAAAGAGTACGCAAATCCTTTTTTGTAGCAATCACAGAATTATTGCAACTTGTTGAACGAAATGCTTTGTAGTTGCTAGGGCCTGGGAGGGCCAGAAAGTCACCGACCAAGGACAATAATGGCAAGCTTATAGATTGAATGGGGTAGGGTGGTGAAAGAGGTGGGGAGGTAGAGGTGATTTGGCTGATTGATACATTTCATGAGCTGAGCTAAGCTCGACTTAAGAAGTTTGTAACATGCTTGATATATTTTCAACTGTCTTAGCATTACACTAAGTTAAACTTGTGATTAGTAAGGAAGTGTTGGAAATAAGAATTTTATACTCGCTGTTTTTTTGTCATTAGATCCTCGTCTTTTGGTGAAAATATTGGAAAATTGGAGAGGCCAAGTAGCTTCTTGGAGTAATTTGGGATACATAATTACACCCTAATCACTTGTTTAATAACCCACTAGATGCATAACTCGTATGCAATTTTTAGAGGTACAATTCAATATGAGATGGCAACAGAAAATTTAGGATAATTGACAAAAGGCATAATGGGTTCCTATTGTCATGCAATGTCCAAATTGACAATTTGGATAAAATGTTATACTTCGTATGAATTAGGATGTTATACTGGTAAGTCATATGCATATAGATGATTCAAAGTCATCATGTAAGATCATTTATGGTAGAAATTCTCAATCTCAAACTAAAGGGAAGTCACTATAGGTCTGCGTAACTTTAAAAACTCGTTTTAATTAAGACATCTGTTTCATATTATTTGTAATATGTGTATTATTTGTGACTTGTGAGATATAAAATATTCACAAGTTGCAAATAATATGAAATAGAGGTAAAAAATTATTGTACTACGTATATAGCCATATTTTAATGTCACTATACCTGAGCTTTCTTCGATTAACATGCTATTTTAGTATTTTATCTCCCATCACCCCCACAAAATGTAACTCATATTTGTCGGATCAATTTAAGGGTCAACAAAATGTTTTAGAAGAAAAACTGAAAAAAGACTAATAGGATAAACAACCTTATGAGTTATGAGGACCCTACTAGTAGTCTACGGGATTTGTTAAACATCGCCCGCGTTTTTCTACATAAAGCCCACATTTTTTAAAAATGTTGACATTATTGCCCTTGTTTTAATTTTTACCGAAAATAAAATTTTTCACTCATAAAAAATGTGGAGCAGGACTGGATCGCCGAGTGAAACCGAAGAGCCCTCAACGTCGGGTAGATGCACCGTAGAGACGCCGTTGACGCCGGAAAAGGAGGTACGAAGCCATCTAAAACCACGAATTGGCGGCTGGCGTCCTGCCGGGACGCCGTGACCGTAGTGGTGGCGCCTAGCCAGGACGCCGCCACCGTGGCTCTGGCGCCTGGCCAGGACGCTGCCACCGTGGCCGTGGCGTCTGGCCAAGACGCCGCCGCCACGGTGGCGGCGTCCTGGCCAGGCGCCACCGCCACGGTGGCGGCGTCCTGGCTAGACGCCACCGCCACGGTGGCGGCGTCCTGGCTAGGCGCCACCACTATTTTTTTTTTTTTTTTTTTTTTAATTTAATTTAAAATTTGTTTATTTTTTTTTTTTTGTGTTACAATTTTTTTCTTTTTTTTTTGGTTTTTTTTTTGTTTTGTTTTTAATTGTTTTAATTTGTTTTTGTTTTTAATTTATTTATTTTTTATTTTTTTTTTTTACAATTTTTTTCGTTTTATGTTTTTTTTTTGTTTTTATTTTTTTGGTTTATTTTTATTTATTTAATCTAAAGTTTTGTTTATGTTTTTTATTTTTGTGTTTTGTTTTTTTTTTTTTTTTTGAATACTTTTTGTTTATTTCTTTGTTTGTTGTTTATAATTTATTATTGTTTTTGCTTTTGTGCTAATGTTGTGTCAAATGTATTAATTTAATCTACTCTTATGTGATTATATTTATATGTTATTGTTGCAGGATTATGGTGGAGACGGAAATGATTATAGTGGGATTTTTGTACACGATGGTCTGTTCGAAGATGCTCAACAAGCGGTTGATTGGGCGAAACAGGTTGCAATTAGATCAGGTTTTTGTTTAGTAGTAGCAACTCATAAATCTCAACGGGATGGTAGAATGGATCGCATTTTGAGATGCGACCGTTATCGCAAAAGGGAGGAACGAGATTTCAGTCAAGCGATTCGGTTTGATACAAAGCGGAAAGGTTGTGGGTGTCCGGTCATGATATAAAGGTTCGACAACAGCAAAGGGGTGACGGTTGGGAAGTGAAGAGTTACGGTAAATGGGGGTATCACAACCATGAGATGATCGCATATGAAGTGGGTCATCGACAGTTAAGTGGCCTAAGTCCTGCTGCGAAACTAATTGTAAAAGAAATGAGTGATGCTCAAGTGAAGCCTGCTAAAATATTAGCATCTGTGTTGGAGAAATTTCCTGAAGACCAGCCAAACCGAAGACACATCTACAACGTCAGACATAAATTGAGGTTTGAACGGTCAGAGGGAAGGAACCCTATACAGCAGCTTCTACACCAGGCACAAGCACGTGGTTACCTGTACTGGTTTGAATCTGATGAAGACACATCGGAGGTGACTCATTTGTTCCTTGTGCATCCTGATTGTGCTGATATGATTTCGTCTTGGCCATCTGTGATTCTGATCGATTCAACGTACAAGACAAACAAGTATAAGTTTCCACTGGTTGAGATGGTTGGGATGACTCCAACGAACCAGAACTTTTTGATTGGTTATGCAGTTATGAAGGATGAGACGGTTGCGAGTTACCGTTGGGTGTTGGAGAAGTTGAGAAATTACATCGGCCCAAGTGTTCAGCCATCGGCCATCGTCAGCGATTGTGAGGGAGGTCTCTTTGCCCCTATAGCGGAGCTGTTTCCGGAGTCGAGCCATTTACTGTGCACATGGCACATCAACAAATGCGTGAAAGTCAAAGCCTACAACCTTTTCAACAAGAACTTAGATTCAGCAGAGAGATTGGTAAATGGTAAGTGGCGGAAGATCCTGCAAGCTACCACGGAGGCAGAGTACGACCGAGCCTTGGATAACTTCAAGGATGCATACCAATGGTGCCCGGCAATCGTAGACTATGTGATGCAGCAGTGGGTGCCTCAGAGGGAAAAGTTTGTCAAATATTGGACAAACCAAGTTCTTCATTTTGGAAACACTACTACATGTAGAGTTGAGAGCGCTCATAGAGCTCTGAAGGACTGGATTGATTCTTCCACCTCTGCTCTGGATACACTGTTCGAGAGAATAAACAAGGCTATTGATACTCAGAGGAACGGCATCAAGAACTCTCTCGAGGACTCCAGACGGCGACATGGCACGATGTATAGCCATTTCATATTTAAGATTCTCCATGGTCGTGTGTCACACTACTGCTTGGGGTTGATTCTGAGCGAGCACACCAGGATGAGGGAGTTGGGTGATGAAGTGGCTATTCGGTGCGGATGTGCTATATCGGTGACTCATGGACTACCTTGTGCATGCACCATTCACCGCGTAATTACGCAAGATAGGGCGTCGTTACATGTTGATCAGGTTCATCCATTCTGGCGGACGCTCGTTATCGGAGAGCATGCTGTTCCACAGACAGTCAACCGTGAACAGGAGGAGTTGGAGCAGTTTCGTTCGATGTTTGACCAAGTGTCCTCCAGCCACCCTTCAGTCATTCGTAGTGCTACCCACGTACTTCATGACATGTTCAACTCGTCGTGCTTGGATCATGAGGAACCTGAGGGGGTCGAGCGACCACGGGGCCGACAACCACGGCGGGAAAGGAGTGCGTTTGAGTACATTCGTGGTCGTGGTCGTGGTCGTGGCCGTGGTCGTACATCGTCATCAAGTGGTAGTCAAACTTCTTCGTCGGTGAATATGCCCGGCACCGGTACGGTACTTTAGTTTAATTTACTTTTTAGAGTGTTTGCTTAGTTTTCTGCTAACTTGTTAATTGTGTTTTTTGATGTGTGCAACAGGCAGAATGGACATTGAACATTTTCCATATAAAGACAGGATCCCTAACATCATGATGCCGTTCCTGGACGGGTGGAATGATGTGGTTGCAGATGGTAACTGTGGATTTCGGGTTGTGGCTGATGTGTTTCAGATGGGTGAAGACAACTACGGTTTAGTGCGTCAGTTGATGTACAGTGAAATCGCCTCAAACCGAGCTGTTTATCGCCACGTGTACGGACAGGACTTGGATAGGTCTCTGCAGCGTATCCGGTGGGGAGGAGGACGTTGCGGTCAAAATCATTGGTTCGACGCGCCCCTTGATCTCTTCGCCGTTGCAAACATCTACAAGTGTGCAGTGATGCATTTCGGCCTTGGTTTGCATGGTCGAGCTTACTATCCGTGTACCACGGTTCTGCCTTGGTGTTCGCGTGAGACCGTCACCAGACCGGTAAGAGAGGTTGCTATTGGATTTCTGGGGCCGTCATACAGACATTTCATCCGACTGGACCTGTCACCCGATTTTCCGGTCCCACCGATTATACCAACGTGGTACACCATTCGTACAGCAAGCGTAGAGGGCTGGGATGCGTTATATCATGACCGGGTGCAGCAGTGGAACAATCTAGTTGCCTTTTCTATGTGACCTAATATTGCTATTGCTATGTTTTTCCCATTTATTTAATTTTCGGATTCTAATTTTCGTATTTAGTTTTCCCATTTAAATGTGAACCTGTATTTAGTTTTCGTATGCCCACTAATTACAACTTAAAATAAAAGTTATAAAAACTAAAAATATAATGTCAAATTCTAAGAACTTAAAATAATAATTATAAGAACAGATAATGTTAACTTTTACAAACAACTAGGAAAATGTTTTATAAATGCACTGCCGACATATCAATAATCTCTCTGTGACGCCCACTGCCACTGCTCAAGGGCCCGTTCCAGTTCATCAATAACAGCTCTGCCTGTTGCAGTCGTCATGTTGTCCCTCTCCTCAAATACGGGTAGCGATGTGTCCTAGAAAGCTAGGAATCACACTCCCGTCTATAGGTCCCCCAGCCACCTCGCCCCTCACCACCCAAGAATCATTAACGGCCCTCGACCGTTTTCTGCTAACCGCAGACACAGTGGACGCAGATGATGTGCCAGATCTACTAACAAATCTACCATCTCTACCCTTACGCACGTCTACCCTACGCGTCTCATACACATCATCAAGCCTCTGACTGAATGGACCGTAATCATCATATGGTCCACTCTGATCGTCCACATCCTCATCTGCATCCTCCTCCTCCTCCTCCTCATCACCATCATCATCTTCATCATCCTCAGAATAGTGCACCCGTTCTCTACGAGCCGAGGCCGAAATACCACGGGATCTAACGTGTCTGGGCCCCGAGCTCTCCATTGAGTTCATCGTACTTCTCATAATGTCCATACTCTTCCCAGCCCCAGAACGAAAATACGATGCCTAACACAAAATAACAAAACATGTAATATGCAATATAAACATGTAATATAAACATAAAAAAAGTAATTAAAATAAATAAATAAAACAATATACATATGATGGAAAATAAATTAAAAACATTACAAAATATTAACAACCTAAAAATAAAAAAATTAATAACCTAATAAATAAATAAATAAAAAATTGGAAAAAACAAAGCAAAAAAAAAAATTACCCAAAAAAAACAAATTGGAAAAAACAAAGTGAAAAATATAAAATTATAAAAACTTAAAAAAAGAAGAACATCAAAATTTTAAAAAAAATTTATAAAAAAAAAAAGGGAACATAAAATTTTTTTTAAGTAAAAAAACTAATTCAAAAAAAAAAAAACAAGAACAATAAACAAGAACATAAAATTAAAAATTAAAAAAAAAAAAAAGAGGAACATAAAATTTTTTTAAAAAAAACCAACAAAATTTAAAACAAAATAAAAAAAAAATCAGAAACATAAAATTTAAAATTAAAAAAAAGAAAAACAAATTTAAAAAAAAATCAAAAAAAAAATAATTATTTTCGAAAATTAAATTTCAAATTTAAAACCAAAAAAAAATTAAAAAAAAAAATAAAAAGGCGGCGGCGCCTAGGCCAGACGCCGTGACGGTGGCGGCGGCGTCTAGCCCAGACGCCACTACCACGGCGGCGGCGCCTAGGCCAGACGCCGGTGCCGTGGTTCTGGCGCCTGGGCCAGACGCCACCGCCACCGTCACGGCGTCTGGCCTAGGCGCCGCCGCCGTGGTGGTGGCGTCTGGCCTAGGCGCCGCCGCCGTGGTGGTGGCGTCTGGCCTAGGCGCCGCCACCGCCTCCGACCTTTTTTTTTTAATTTTTAAACACAAAATTAATAAAAAATACCTTCTCGCCGGAAAACCGCTGTCCACCCGCCGCCTGTGCCGCCACTTCCTTGCCGGGCCGCCTCGACATCGCTCGGAAAGTTTTTTAGAGAGAGAAAGTGGAAGTAGAGAATTGAGAGAAGAAATTGTGTTTTTTACTTTGAGGGCAAAAGTGACAATTCACTCTAATTTTGTGGGCTTTATGTGGAGATTCGCGGGCGATGTTTAGCAATTCAGTAGTCTACTACCCTTAGAATAGTCCTTGGATACCAAAATAAACTCTTTGATAAAGTTGTGACTATGGCTCCACAAGTCGTTAACATCTTATATACAATCAATTTAATGTCAAATCATTTCATCATTTTTCTTATTTTGTAAAATTCGTTTATGTATTAAAGCAATCGCTTAAATTCAACTAGGTTTTCAGTCTAAAATCAATTGACAATAAGGTCCTTTTACTACCTACTATTTCAAAACATCCTTAGATGGATCAATTCGATTTTTCACAAACAAGTATGATATCGGCATATAATATACTCCCTTCATCTGATTTCAGTTGTCAAATTAGTTCATAGTATTGATCTATTTACGTGAGGACGTGTCTTCGCGAGTATTAACCTCCCCCCCACCCCCGCGCTTTCCCCTTCTCTCTTTGCTTGTGACTTCTGCCTTTCAAGATCAAAGCAACAGGATAACGTCAATTGTCAACCGAACTGATTTTTCTAGTCAGTCAGTCATCTTTCTTTGGATTTGCATTTGCACATGCTAAAAGCAGATCAATAAGTGTAACAGTAAACATTGCTACTACAACTAGTATTCCTTTGATCAAACTCATGATTTGTGCTAGGATTTTTATTGTCTCAAGAAAAAAGAAGAAATTTTGTTTAACTTTTTTTTTTTTTTGCGGTAAAGAGTGTGCTAAACACACAAATGTCGCATCAAATTAGAAATGCGCAACCAGTACAATTTATGGTGTACCAAATGCAATGGTTAAGCTGCGTTTTCAGAAATACATCATAATTTTATGCCTTGTCCACTACTCACCCTTTATTGCTCCACTTCTCTGAGTCTCTCTCCTTTTACAAGTTTCTTAGGATATTTTTTTGCTGAGCCTTCTCTAGTGTCACATTCTCCAGGTGATGGTGATCTACAACCTTAATTAGAGTTACGCAACTACACATATATATCTCCGTTTAGTCTTAAGAGCTTATTTACGCAGTTTCAGGATATAAAAGGACATTTTTGTATGGCCTCCACAAATAGAGTGGTATATAGGGGAAAAAAGAAGACAATTAGCTAAGCGGATTATTTTAGATAAAAGTTTAAGTTCTCGAGATTAATTAATATAGAACGAAGCACGAAATAAAATATATTTTTGTGTGCGATTATATTATAAGGTCTGAAATAACCATGGAAGTGTTGGAACATACAAGTAATAAAGTAAAGGTAAGAGCTCACCTCAGACATAAATAAATTTTCATGACCCTCCCTTGAATAGGCCATATTTAAGTTAAATCTAAGATAGAGCTTTGAAAGATTGATAAATAGATTTACATTTAATTACATGATCGATCGATCACAAAGGAAGAAGATCAGGAACTTGACCAAAGTCATTAGAATTATAAGCTCCATTGTCACTTTGGCTAAACTGATCTAAACTTATTAAACCTTCGCTACATAAATTCATATGAATTATACTAACATTATGATCACCCAAACCAAACAAACCATTGTCATCAGTATTACTACTAGCGGTAACATTACTATGTAGGCTGCTAGCCTTGTACTGAGCTAATCGAGCACGGGCAAGGGCAAGATCATGCTGGAGCTGGATCATCCGTCTTTGCAAGAGCGCAATAGCACCAATACACCCATAGACCGGATCACGAAGGCGAGCCTCGGCCTCGTATGATAAAGAATTGACAGTATCCTCACGGTGCTCCTCAGGGACTTCATTAAGGATCTTACTTACATTGCTGGCTCCAAACACTTTATGGACTTTGGCAAACTTCTTAGGCTCGTCGGCTCGAAAGTGTGGGGCGAATATGCAGCTAGGGCTGCAACGTCGCTTGAGTAGTTTGCAGGCCGCGCAAGATGAGCTTGACCTGGGCTCGGTGTAGCCCTTCTTCATGGTTGGTTTTGGTTCTTCATTCAAAAGAAAGAGATAAAGTAATCAACTAAAAGTACACAACATCACATACAATTCGTGTGTGTGTTGTGTTGTGTTGTGTTATAGGAATAGGCTTATCCTTGATATAGTAGTGGGCTATTTATATGTCAATATGTGGTTGATACATTAGGGGGGCTCTCTTGATGCATATACTGTCTTCTTATATTTTGAGAGCCAAAAACCATTTTGTGGGCCTCCCATTACTACTATTATTTGATACAAATCATTCTGTCTTCCTTGGAGTTTCTATTGGAAGAACAATGGTTGTTTTTTTTTTTGTTTTTTTTTTTTTGGCCAATGCATGATATAGTTATAGAAAGTTGATATTTTGAAAAGTTTCACTGAGACAAATTCTAATATATTACGGAGTAGTAAAAAAAAACATGATAAAAGTATGTGAATCATGTAAAAATTAAATTTGAACCATCACAAAAGACGAAGGGATCTTTAATGAGGATATTTCGAAATGTACCAAAAAGCTCGGCGGAAATAAAACCGATATCTCCTTAGAACAAATGCGACACAACATGAGTATAAATAAGCTATAATGAATAAAAGTAATATATTGAATTCAGTAAAAACCAAGATCTCATAACTACTTGAACGGTTGAGCCATACAATGAAATAATTATTTTTTTATGAAAAAAAAAAAAAAAAAAACACTAATGTATAATTTAGTGATTTAGTAAGCCAAATACATCATTATACTAGAAATTGATAAGAATTCACTTTTTTATAAATAAATCTATCTTCAGATGGTTTTGTCTTGAGTTTGGTACGTTAGGATTGGATAAAGCTGAGTTACCTGAGTACACATACACCTGTCAGGCTATGTGTGACGGAACAGGAAATCAAACCATCAAACAATATTATATAATGAAGTTTAAATTTATAAATAAACAGGCCCATTAGCTCAGTTGGTTAGAGCGTGGTGCTAATAACGCCAAGGTCGCAGGTTCGACCCCTGCATGGGCCAATATATTTTTTTTAACTTTCTAGTTTTTAAAAAAAAATTCGTCATTTTTAGCACTAGCTAGTAAAACATAAATAGAAAATTTTGCTAAAAATGGACCAGCTATTATTCAAGTGGAAGGAAAGCCAATGTAGGACATGAGGATGTACATTATTTTTTTTTTTTGAAAAAAGACCTCTTATTTATTTTCAATGTAGAAAAATAGTAAAATGACAAGATAGTTCACCAAGAAAGGAAGATAATAAAACACATACACACTCATTTGATTTGAAGAAAGGAAGTGACATTACCTGAAAAGGGCATCATTTCTTTGGTCTATTTACTTTGATTTGAAAACCTTTCATTATGAATGTAAAAATAAAAAGCAAAGGTCTTTAGTTACCTAGGGTTTTAGGTACTTATAGAGCCCCTACTTTAGCTTAATTTGATTTATAGTAGTCCAATATTGATTACGTAACTAAAAGAAATTAAGGACATAAGGTTGAGGAGCTTTTATTAATTAGCTTTACGTTTGATGAAAAAGTATTGTAACTAATACTATTAAGTGGAAAAGGTAATTCAACGTGAAATCTAATATGGATTAGAAAAAAATTAATTCTTTCTTATATTACAATTAATGCCACAAAAAAATTGTGGGTTATATTATACCATTATTAAATCTATATTTCGATGTGTGCTTTAAATTTCAAAAAGCATGTATACACCCACCATTTTAAATAAACATTGATGTCAAATTAACTAAAGATTATGGATTGCTAACTATGTATAATTTTACCTACAACAATTTTTGGAGTATGATAAACATTTCTAATTTGCATTTAAGTTAATTATTGTTATTTTTTTGAAATACCTTTTTTTATTGTAACCGTGTAAGATTTATGGTATTGAATTCTCACAAATTTTCGTCCGTCTTGCTCCTTTCCTTTCTAAATTACTAATATGTTTGATTGGCTCTAATATCATGATATTTGAACAATCGATCAACATTATAAGTGTGAAAGATTTTCTACAAATTTATTAGCTTAAGAGCTCCCTAATGATGGATGGATTGGAAAATCACATTCTGTGGTGGAAATTAGAGGCAAGTAGTGATGGCAACTTCTTTTGCGGTGAATTGTGCTTGTTTTTTCTTAGAAAAGTTCCGAAGGGGATTTCTTGCTCACTTTTTACGATCCCAAAACTCTTTATAATTGTGCGAGTATCGGTTTTTTTTTTTTTTATTATTATTATTTAATTTAAGAAGTCGAATACCATAATAATAGGAAGACGGAATTGATCCCAAGTTTTGAATACTAGTTGCTAATGTTTTAGCAGAAGAAAAAAAAAAAAAAAAAAAAAACAAACTAACATCGACAATAGTTTGTAATTAGTTAAAAAAAATTCGGCCACCAATAAGATATTAATGGGTATAAAAAATCTAAAGCAATTGATTCAAAATAAATATAGATGCTTATTATCATGCCATTATTTGTAAGAATATAAACAATACATGTCAATTTAAAAAATGTTTATGTCAATATTATGACTCGGATCTATTAAAAAATAAATAGAAAGTCATACCATCTTTGCATTTTGCTCATCTATTATTCTTAAATATAGTTAATGTAGACTACGATAGTGTTTTTCTTTGTACTTATACTTTTTCTACTGTTAAAGTAGTACTCCGTACTAGATATTTTCTTTGACTAAATCTAAAATAAAAATATTTACGATTATTATGTACATAAAAAAAATAAAAAAAAATAAAAAAAAAAACCTAAAAGTAAAATTCATCTACATAAATTATAATATATGAAAACTATATTACAATAATATTTAACATATCGACCTGAACATCGCCCAGATTAAATACTAGTTTATAATATGAGAAACATCATGAGTTCATGACAGAAATTTGGTGAATTACTAGTGGAATAATTGGACAAAAGAAGACAAGATCCTTTAATGATTAAAGCCCATTTCCGAGCCCATTTTTCAAATAATTATTGCAGCCTGGCCCATATGACTAAAAAAATCCAAGGGTTTTAACTGGCCCAATGTAATATTGTAATCCCCGTCTCTTGACCCATCGGTTGCCCAGTCCAATCCTGCTCAGCTAGTCAACATTAGGGTAATTCTTTTTTTGAAGAAATACTTTGTTTATTCTTATCTCCATTTCTTATTATTTGTAACGAATGAGAATTATTTGTGAGATATAAAAGTTTTTTTTTGTTGCAAAAATATGGAGATAGTAGGTTGTTTAGGATATTACGGAGTATTATCTTGGATATTATTCCTGCTCAGCTCATCGAAAAAAAAATATTATTTTTATCATCATAAGACCACCTTGTAGTTGGTAAAAAAGGCTACAGTAAATAGAAAACCAGCAATGTTATAATGTTATGAGTTGCAATAGATGATTGAAAACCCCTTACATGGTCATAATTGACCTTGACAGATTAACACACATCTTAAATTCCTAAATCCTAAATACGAGTATATTATTTTAAAAATTAAAATTACGACAAATGAATGATTAGAACGAATATAGAAAGAAATTTCCACATTCTTACAACTTTGACATAATAATAAAGTTTTATTTCAAATTACATAGAAACAATGGTCTCAATTGTTAATTTTATTTTTCTAAAAAAGGAAAGTTCAACTTGGATATGAAATTATGAATACACTTACATGATCATAACACTACGGAGTATTAAACACTTTATATAATTGACTTAGTTGTATTTATTTGATGGTATACTACTTCAGCCACCACAACCATCTAAAGCTGTCAAAAGCTGACCTGATTCGAAATACCGATCCGAACCCGATTTTTAACCGATTCGTCTAAACCCGGAAAAATGATGACCCGAACCCGATATGACCCGACCTGAAACCAACCCTAGACCCTATTTAATCCGAGTATTTGAGACCCGAACCCAAACATGAACCGACCTGGAGATGACCCGACCCGAATATAACCCGTATAATATTGACTTGAACCGAAATTGAATCAAACCCGTTTTAACCCGTCAAAACCCAAATTTAACCTGACCTGTTACTAACCCGACCTATTCCTAACTCGACCCGAATTTAACCCGACCTATTACTAACCTGACCCAAAATTCAACCCGATCTGTCACTAACCCGACCCAAAATCAACCCGACTTGTTATTGACCCGACCCAAATTCAACCCGACTTGTTATTGACTTGACTGAAATCAACTCGACTTGTTATTGTACACATCTTCATTATTGTAGATCAAATACTGAATAAAGATATATGCTATATATATTCTAAGCTACTCGTTATGTCGAAACTTCGTAAGGCTAAAACTACTCTATGTTAATATTGATCAAAGTATTTTGTCTTGGATGCAGGGAGACCAAGTCGATCCAGCAAAAGAAAGAAGCATCATCCCCAAATTTAGGTGTTAATTATAGTATATATTTGTTGTACATATATATACCAATTAAGTCTCATATCTTAACCTTAGTGTACATGTACATATATGCATCTCTTTAATTTAGTATAAACACTCCACATACGCATCAAAATCAATTAAGAAGAAACATTTATTTGTTGTAGATTCAACTACTTAATTATAGTTCAGCTACAATGAAGCATTCCAATAATAAAAGAAGACCGCAAGTAATACTAAGCATCCACAAGGAAATGCAGATTTTCCACAATTAAACGGTCAACTAAAAAAAGGGGGAATAACTTTTAAAATATCAGTTTGTCAATTCTATATTCACAAACCTATCTTTCCATGACCAATATCAACTGAGCAGCCAGATATACGCCCTACAACATATAGTGATAAAACTCCTTGTTCTGCAGCATAAAACCCTGAGACATTGAAAGTTTCAAACAACAATTGGACCAATTGTTCTCATAGGTCCTGCAGTTGTTTGAGAGTACAACAATATCTGAGATTTGAGCAACAACTACAATGTGAATCACATCAACAAGTTTAAATTAAACATGTTTGACGATGTATAATATCATGGATCTACTAGAAAATAAATGTATATGCAATAACTCCCTGGTTAATACTACACACATACAAAATATATATAGAAATGAGATCAAAGTCAAACTAGAAACAATGAGTAATAAGATCTCAGGTTCAGTTACAGATAAGAAGAACACACCATATGCTCTTCTTTTCTAACATATATAGATAATATAGATAGATTATGGATATCTTATTAAATCATAATAAATGTGCAGTGAGTATGGGCTCTATATTCCTTTTTCAACAACAATTGATGGAGGGCATTAATTATGCAGTCTCCTATATCAGGAAAAAATCTGAGTATTTTTTTCATTGTCTTGAATAAGCACATAGCATTGGACACTTCAATAGAAGACGAGAGTGAAAGGTTTGAGCACAATCTCATAGTTTGTATAGTTTACTAACTCAAAAACCCAACACAAGATATTGATGAAGTTCATTATATACACAAACGCAGTAGAGTTAATAGCTGATGCACAGACAACGGAGAACAAATTGTGCAGCTTCATCATAAAGCTAGCTGGGCTGGAGTTGATTCACATATGAAGAGGTCTTCCGCTGGCTACTCCAACTATAATTCGGGCCCTTATCCTTGGCACTTTCCTGATTCGAGGTAGCAGACACCTTGATTCAGCTTTCTATGAGATTTAAGCATTATTAGTTACAGCACAGAGACATCAAATAACAGTATATGTAAGAAGAAATAGTATTCATGTGAGAGTTGATCATGGGAAGTAGGTGGAGCTCAGTGAACCAAAAATATAGACTTTTCATCAAGGAAATTAAATTTCTACGATGACAGCCTAAAGCGCAAGCATGTGTAAGCTGAAGCACATAAACAACAAAGAATTAACAAAGAAAGACAGTTAAACCAGAAATAAATACCATGAAAGAAAGTTTTCCTAAGCCATAACAAGATTAAATAATTTATGCAAGATTACATCCCAAACTTTCATGCATTTGCAATAGAAACTAGATGGAGTAAATGATTAGCATCCAGAATATGCAATTACAAATATAATTAACGAGCGCACTAAAATAGGACAAGAAACTTGAACTGGCCCCTTGTCTTACCTTTGGTAAAACAGAACAGACGGAGGAACCCATTACCTGCATCACATCAACAGCAGAGCTGATTGAAGACTTCGAAGAATCAATATCAACCTGCAGAATTACAAATTTTATTTATTCACCCAAATTCATGATATTACTGAAGCAAAGAGTCTTTCACTAGGTGAAAACACGTAATCCGCATCGGTTAAAAACCTCCATTTAGCACCGGTTTTGAACCGGTCCTGATTTGGGGGGTGCTAAAACCCCAGACTTTTCGCACCGGTTTTGGTTGAGAACTGGTGCGAAAAACCACACTTTTTGCACCGGTTTTGACTTAGAACCGGTGCCAAAAGTCCCCAAATTTTTTTTAAAGAAAATCTTTTAGCACTGGTTCTTTTCCAAAACCGGTGCCAAAAATGCCCAAAAAAAAAAAATTTTTTTTGCATTTATTTTCACTTAAATTGTACCAAATATTTATATATAATCATAATATACATAAAACACATATATTTTCTTCAATAACTTGTAATATTACACTTTAAAAAACTAAAAAAATATAGCATAGTTTTGTTTTGTCTTTTGTCCATTCTGATGTAGCATACTGCATTAATTTTGTCTAACAAAGCAACTGCAAGATTGTTTACCCTGAGAGCATGGTAAGGAGGAGTTCTTTTGCATTTACAGCATCCAAGACTTGTTGATCCGGGATAAACCTTTGCAAGGCCGCACGTATTTGGACTGCAACATTTGATCAACAACACCTTCGTTTGCTTGCTGTTTAACATTGTTCTCCTCTTGAAGAACATCCTCATCATAAGGAGTTACATGCTCAAGCTGTGAGGAAGAACTAAAGCAGGTACAGATGCCACCCTCTGATGCATCCATGTTAAGTGCAGTTAGTTTATTGAAATTAAAAAGCTACTAGTGTGATATATATTTTTTTTAGGAAACTAGTATGATATATTAAATTAAGAGAACTGGAGAAAAAAGTAAAAGGAAAGGACATGACTTGCTACCTTGTGCCTTGCTTCCACCTTTGCCTGTCCAATATCCAGGATACAAGAAATAGAACACTGATTTCCTTACTCCATAGGGGTTCGGAATAATATTGTCGAAGTAAAGAGCCAAAACAAACCACATATAACAAACGTCCCCGACAGCCATATGAAGATATCATTTTGTCACGAGATGGCAGTACGTACTTAATGGTTAGCAGTCTTAGCACTAAAATGTCAATAGAGACTAAGCGAATATTTGAAAATGACAGAAGCCAAAAGCATAAGAATCACATTGAAGGGATATGAAAAGGAGAAAAATTTAATGGACTTAATAAATATGTAGGATACAACTTACCATTGTTAAAATACATTCATCATCATTAAGCGAACATTTTGTCCTTCCCTTCTATTAGATATTTAGAGTGTTGATGGTTGCGTTCGCGACCATGAAGAAGCGCTCGCGCTTTGGAGGCGCGGCCGCGCAATAGACGCACCTAAATCGCGTATCCTACTGGAAAATTCTGATAGTTCAAGGTGGAGCGCTTGCTCTTTCAGATGGCGCGCCCGCGCCATCGTTAGGCGCGCCCGCGCCATCGTTAGGCGCACCCGCGCCATCGTTAAGCGCGCCCGCGCTCCAGTCCCTTACTGGAAAAATTGGAATTTTGGAAGAACGAGGAGGAGCGCCCGCACGAGCAAATGGCGCGCCCGCGCGCAAGGGGTGGCGTGCCCGCGCCTCCTCGCTCGTCTTCAGTTTTTGCGGTTATTCCCTTTATATTGTATTTGGGGCCTTTGTTTTCGATATCCAGAAAACTTCTTCCTCTCTGAATATTTTCCTTCTCTACACCATTATTGAAGAACTTTGCAAACTCTTCATTAATTCTCTATCATCTAAGTTTATTGTTTGAGAATTTAACCATCTTATCACACATCTTTGTGCTAAGTGTGTGGTGTTGTCTATTGTATCTCAAAGTGAGTTTCCAGTTTAAACCCAAGCACCGTGGTAGGGGAAATTATCACTTTAGGAAAGTGTATACACGCCTTAGACAAGTATCCGGTATAGAAGACTCACGTGGTCATAGAATTTCTCATGTTCTTGGTGGTGTTCGGCTTGGAGTGAGGCAAGTTTAAGAACCTTTCACATTAGTGTTATTTTGTTGTAATTTCTGGAGTACATTGTTAATTTAGTGCTTGGTTTGTAATACTACTTGAAGTATTTGGTGTTGTATGTTTCATTGAAATTTATACACATTCTAGGGTTTGTCCACCATTGTTAAGTAATTCTTGTTGTGTAGAATTGCATTGTAAACCCTAACACCTTCCAGCTCATTCTAGGGTCTTGAGGTGTACTAGTTGCATCTGTGAGCATCTGAATACCCTCGGCTAGCAAATTTGGAGGGTAGAAGGACCATAAGACTCTGTATGTTTGAGAGAACATTTTACTATATGGGAATCCAAATGCTGTCACAATCTGCACAATATGAAATAACATCAGTAAACAGTCTATTGGTTTCCCTGACTTTAAACCAAAAACTCTGATAGGAAATTAGAGAAACTAGCCTGGGTGATTAAGCCAATAATAAAGTTGTAAAATCCTATGTTTGTAGCTGAAGATGACCGGCTAATGAAGGCTGATAGCGCAAATGCAAAGACAGTCTGACATATGTATAGCAAAGAGCAGATAAGAGGTTAGTGGATGAAAATAAAAAAAGTAGTATCACAAATTACGAAATATAATGATGCAGTAGAGTTTATGAACAATAAATAATATATAATCCAGTATTAATTGTGAATTCAAAACTGGTCAATCAACAAAAGAAACAGGGAGCTTACCATGTTCAATTGGAAAAGAAAGAACACAAGGAATAAGATCGCAAAATTGTTGTGCAAGAAAAAATCAAACTGAAACATCGTCCCAAATAGTACGATGAAAACTGATGAAACAACAACAAGAAGTCCCTCCCAAGCTAGCCATGACAGCCAGTAGGCAGTATCATACAAACCCATCATACTCATCAAAACTTTGACCAGTGATAGGTAGACAAGATTTAAAATCTTTATTAACAAAATTCTGAAATCATCAACAATAATAATATTCAGATTATAAAACCAAATCAACCAACAATATTATGAAAAAAAATAGGGTAAAGGAGAATGACATGAACTTAAGTTAAGGCAATTAAGAGGCAAAGATGGACAGGTTTAGCAGATCACTTAGAAATTTTAGTACAAGACTCAAAGAGAAGCATGCTTACATAAAATTGGCTGAGCATTGACATGTACAATAGCAGGTAGCAAGTAGGCAAGTGTTTTCCCTGATCCTGTTTCAGCAAGACCAATAAGATCACGACCCTTTAGGGCCATAGGCCATCCTTGAGCTTGAATAGCAGTGGGTTCAGTAAAGCCAACTTTCTTAACCTCTTCCATGACATAATTTGCAGTCGAGAAGGAAAACCATTTATAAGTCAATAACTGGATCTAACACCCACAAATGCTCTAGACTAGGGGAGAGAGAGAGATGGACACAGAACACTGTAGAAGCACCACATCAAAATGGCAATTTTTGCAAATCTAGTTTGTAAATTACAAATAAGTTCATCATTGAAAGCTCAGCAAGTAGCTGGATAGTACTCTGACTACAATTTGACACCCAATCCAAGAGATGATTGCTATCCAAAGATAAAAAAAATTCAAGACATGGAGTATATTAAAATTGTAATCAATAAAAACTAAAGCACAATGCAAACTCACGACAAATCATGATACTAGCATGCTTCTTCTAGGAGATGGCTGGAGAGAATTTATCAATGCTTATTCCTTACAAGAAAAGGACATCCTGACTTTCAAGTACATAGGCAATTCTCAGTTTAAGGTTTCTGTTTTTTATGGAAGAAAGTTGTGTAAGAAAGAAATATCATATCCTGGCGGAAAGTGTATTACTGACCTATCTGGTAGAGAATTTATTGAGAGGAAGATATTCAAGAAGAACTTGGTGATGGGAAGAGAAGAAGGAGAGATGATAACCACCCTATCGTATCAGTCTCAACCCTCGATGTACAAGCAGGTATTATTATTGATGAAAAACTCTAAAACGCATTCGTTGTTTCTTTCTTTTTTGTGGCAATTGCTTTGTTATATTGGATGTGAGTACTTACTAAGTGTCAGGCTTAGATACTTAACCAAAGCTCTTTCCACATATTCTGTCCAAATTGAAGTGTCAAGTACTCAAGAAGTGTTCATATTCGTGTTGAAGTGTCGAGGATTCAACAAAAGTACTGGAGGTAGATCTGATAATCTAAACTCCTGAATTACAGTTAAGGTGGTTTAAAAGCAAAATGGATGCCTTCAATAACAATAACTAGCTAGGAGTACATCATTGAAACATGATAAAGGTTTATGGAGGATACCTATATAAATGTCAATGTACTATCTCTTTTAAGCCAATCCAAAATACATAACTATTTTGAAAAATTATAACTTTATCTGTTCAATAAATCAATTCATAATACTAATACTACTTCAATCAAAGAATACAACTAAGAATTTAATATGCAAAGAATTTCGCAATATGTAACATGCAAAACTGAAAGTGACATACAAATCGCAAGAAATCAACAAATTAACACATAATTTCTCCAGTTTTAACAAAAACTCAACATATAATAATAAAATTGATACCTAAAACTTTCGATTTAGGTGATTACTCAACAGATAATCGAGCAGAAGAGATAATCCAACAATTCGTATCAATTGTAAGCAATTCGGGCAGAAGAAAATAGAGCAGTAATGAGTAATCGAGTAATAACATTCGAGTAATCAATTGAAGGCGATTACATCTGAAAACCCTAAATAAACAAGCCAATAGCACAATTTTAGCTATGGTAAAACCCTAGATTAACTATACTAACACAAATAATTAGCGAAATTGATATTCATTGATTAAAAAACATTACCTCAGAAGTTGTTTCAATGGAGGAGAAAGTTCAGAACTGCTACAATATAACTCAAAGCTAAATAACCCAGAAACCCTAACCTCGAATTTCTGATTTTTGGTTCGAAATTGATTCGAATTTGTTGTTGTTGAAGATGCACGCACATCGAATTGATTCAAAATAGACGCACCCAGAAACCCTAACCTCCAATATTGAAGAAAGAGAGAAGGAGAAGGAGATCGAAAGAGAGAAGAAAGGAAAGGGAAAGTGGCGGTTATGGAGAAGGAGATCGAAGGAGAGAGAAGAAGTTTGAGGAAAGTGCTGAGAGAAAGCTTAGAAGCCCCTTCAATGGAGAAATTCAAGTACGCTTCAATGGAGGAAAGAGAGAGGCAGATCAGATGAGAGGAGGAAAGATCGAGGAAATGAAAGTAAGAGAAAGAAAGAGTATATTCGGGGTCTGTTTTTTTTTTTTTTTTTTTTTTTTTTTTTTTTTTTTTTTTACAATAGATTTCTCACCGGTTCGAACTGAATCGGTGCGATTAACTCATTTTTCGCACCGGTTTGGTTAGAATCGGTGCGAAATCCCTTTCTCCCTTTTTTTTCTCTCTTAAAATTTTTTTTCGCACCGGTTTTCAAGAACCGTGCGAAAAGTGCGGTGCCTATTTCACTTTTTCTACTAGTGTTTTTTTCAAGATCTTTGATTGCTCCATTCAAAGAAGTAGAATTGTCTCTCTTAAGTAAAGCCTAATCTTCTAGATACGCCTTATGAAATATAATAGTTGCAATAATTTGACATGAGAAGTAAGCCTGACATTTCCTGTAGTGTCTGTCCAATCCCTCTACTGTATATCTTAGGTTAATTGCAGACAAAGAGATAAGTCATAAAATAGTTTTTAAAATTTTTTAGCAGAAAAGCTTAGTTGGATAATGGAGGCATTACATAAATAGAAGTACTAGTCATAAAATCATCATCAGCTTCTAGTAATTGAATGAATTCAAATAAGCTCAATATGAAACCTTATTGTAGAAAGAGTAAGTGAAGCAAAAAAAGCTCAAATGATAGCAATTCCAATTATTTTAGATTACCAAATGATAGCAATTCATCATCCCCAAAACAAGGTGGTTACAATTGAACAAGTGTATAAACTAAGTAAAGAGTTTAATTAAAATGCTGAAAACGACATAAGGCTCAAGCAGGCAGCACGCTTGAATTAATTTGAGGTTTTAAACTAGTGAGCAAATGAGGGTAAGTGACATCCACCTGCAAAAAGATAAGCAAACAAACAAATAAGAGAGTAAGAGACATAATAGTGTTATAGTGATTAAAAAAACATTACATTCATTTTAAAAAGAATCAAATACAACTTACAAATCTGGCTATGCAGAAGTATCATCCACGTCCTTCTCCTTCTCCACCTCAACCCCATCTTTCTCCAACTCAGCATAACAATACATCCAATTTCGAGTTGTTATCAAAGCTTCGACATGTTTGTGCAAGAGTGAACTCCTTCACCTGTTTAAAACTCTGCCACCCATGCTAAAAGAAGATTCGGAAGCAACAGTAGTAATAGGAATCGCAAGAATATCTTTAGCTATACGACCAAGACTTGGGAAAGTTGTTGATTACTCCTTCCAATAGCCCAAAATATCGAATTCCTCATCAACATTACAAGGTTTTAAAGGCAATTCTAAGTATAATTCTAATTCAGATTTACCCATGTCACCACTAACAACCTCAGCAACAAAATTCTAAAATCACAAATAAAAAAGATCAAAACAAAATAACCCGGAAAAGTGATTAACATATTGAATAATGATAATATTTGTCGTTATCTTACCGCATAAACTCTACTAGTCTTGCGTGGATGATATGCATCTAAATTTGAACTACCTTGGGAAGAATAAGTAGGAAGAGGATCCGTGTAATGGTTAAACTGTTGAACAAATTAATAATACACCTCCTGGACTTTTGTTTCAACCATGTGAGCTTCATACAAATCCTTGAAAATATGTCTCAAAAATTTCAACTTAAACCGAGGATCAAGAATTGCAGCAAAAGATAATAGCACAGAGTAATCAGACCAATATTATTTATCAAACTTGCAACGCATAAGATTTTCCATTTCTTTGAGTTTTGGATCATCCCCTTTAGAAGCAGCCACTAATAGTGACTCAATTCTACAAATGTTGGCAACATAAAGATTGGAGGTGGGATATTCAGAACCGGAAAACAAATTAGTAATGTCATAAAAGTGTTCAAGAAAATCACACATTTTTTCTACTATTTCCCATTCATGAGCAGTAAGCGCCAAGTGATAATTGCTCTCTATCCTACCGAACATTTTCAATGCCGGTAAAAGATCAAGAGCTCGACGAAGCATTAAGAAAGTAGAATTCCATCTAGTAGGAACATCCATCCATAGCTTTACACCTCTAGCTAAATTACAACTAGAAACACACCGCTCAAACCTTATAAGTCTAGCTTCAGAAGAATCAACATACTTCACATTCTCCCAAACTTTCGCAACAGAATCATCAATGACTTTTAAACCTTCTTTGACAATTAAATTTAAGATATGGGCAGTGCATCTAACATGAAAATATTTGCCGTCAAGAGGTAATTTAGCCATTGCATCCAATTCAATTTGAAGTTTCCCAACCATAGAATCCATATTACTTGCATCGTCAATAGTCATACCACAATTTTTTTTTCTTTCAATACCCCAATCTTTGATCAAACTAAAAACTAGATTATAAATTTCATGACCATTATGGGGAGGTTGAAAATGCCTAAAGTTCAGCACCTTAGACCGTAATTTCCAGTCATTATCCACAAAATGGGTCGTAAGAGACAAATAACCACGAGTAGTACAAGCTGTCCATACATCACAAGTCAAGGACACTTTACTTGATAAGGCCTTAAACGTATTACGAACATATTGGTTTAACACATAATGCTCTGTCATGCACCATTTCAATATTGTATTTCAAGAAATAGTTCTAACCTTGGAATTCAAATATGTATACAATTCCTTAAACCCCTCATGTTCAACAATACTTAAAGAATAACCTTGCTTCAATATAGCTCTAGCAAATAACTTACAATATTCTTAGCTTTTTGGTCAAATTCAGATGCATTAGACTCATTAGACCACCATGTTTCTAGATTAATCTTTTGCAAAACTTGCATACAACATGTTCACCATTAATCTCAAAATTCTGCCAAATAAGAGATCGCTTTCCTTGAATTGGAGATATTGATTGATGGGGTTCAAGTGTTGGTGTAGCATTTCCAACACTCATGCATGTAGTTGATGCTTGCTCAACCTCAAAGTCACCCACTACACCAAACAATTAGGCAAAGATTAGGAGTAAGATAAAAAAAATGCATAATTTATAATTAATTAGAATGAACTATACCTCTTTCAGCTGCGTAATCAAATATATCCTCAGCCATGATAGTTTGACCCCTTTAACACCAAAACATAGCATGTCAATGTGAAGGGTTAAATGACTTAAATCATTAGTACATTGCAGTACTATATTATCATTTGCATCCTAAGCAACACAACACTGAGATAGATTTATACATGAACATCTTATTTTTAGACCCTAAAAATTATCAAAAACATCTAAATCTAAAAATTTACCCAAAACATTTTAATCCCTAAAATTATTTAAAATCAAAATACTAAGCATAATATTAAAATGTAAAAATTAACAGATTAAAACATATAAATTGTCGAAAAACAATGTTGAACAATTATAAATTAGGAAGATTAAATGTTTAGATCCATAATTTATGAGTAAAATTCGAACCTGAAAATTGGACAGATTACTCACTCCTTAACTCCTTGTTGAAGGTAGAATATGGGAGTGAGAATTTGAGATTGAGAGTGAGATTCTATGAGTCTAGGAGAGGCCAAGCAGCGGTGAATTATAGCCATGGGTGGATCTCTGAATTTTAGTATATTAGGAAAGCTAGACTCTAATGGCGGCAATGGCGAAATTTGCGACATTACAGACTGATTATATGATTTTGAGATTTTCCAATAATGCCCCCCTTATCACTCTTTTTTTATTTTTTTGTTTTATTGTAATACCCGAATATTTTAAAAGTTTATCAGATATATTTTATGGCTAAAATAAAATATTTAAAATTATTTTATAAATTCGATCTTATACTCTATTTTTATTATCCTACAAAAATTATCTTAAACCCTAATATAGTTATCAATTGATTTTAAGAAGAAAAAAAAAAAAAAAAAGGTTGCCGTCAATTTCCTCTTAGCTGTGCGTGAAACCAAACCAAGATTGGTTATTTTCTTTTTTTTTTTTTTAAAAAAAAAAAACTTAATTTCTTTGATTTGCTTTTGCGCATCTTCATCATCATCTCATTAGCATTATCATATTAATGTTTTTGATTAATCTAAAAGCCAACATTTTTTTATGGGTGATATAGCAATTATGCTGATGCGTAGTCTTCTGTTATTATTGTTGTTAGAGTAAACGCCTTCCGAGGTAATCACACTATCAATCTTTTGGTGTTGTTTGATTATAAATTGATTGTATTGTTTATTATATGTAATCACACTATCGATTTCTTGGAGTTGTTTGATTATAGATTATCGTTTGTATTGATTGTACTTTGTATTATATTGTATAAATTCTATGAATTGTTATTTATATGACCAAGATTTATATGTATGTGATTAACGTATTATATTATATGATTTAATTGTTGTATTAATTGATTGTATTATTATATCTAGGGTTTTTCATGTTGTTGCTATAGGGAGTATTGTTATATTGAGGTTTTAGGGTTATTAATGCAGAGTTTATTTTTAAGTTGTGAGTTAATTATATTTGGGAACTAGTATGTTTGCCCTATAAGTGTTGAGATATTTTATGAATTGAGTACGTCATGTTACATAATTTAGGAACCTGTGCCATTATTGAGATACTATTTATTTGCCAGTGAATGGTTATGTGATCAGCCTATGAGATCAAAGGTTGAGAATTATTATTTTATTCTTGGTTTGAGGCTCGGCGTTAATTACCTTAGTTCTTGGCATGTTGGTAAAGAGATAATGATCATGAGTTAAGAATGAGGTACAATCTTTATTTATATTTTTCTATGGTCCCCTACAGTGGGATTTGACCCATATTGGTCATGGTTTAAGGTATTTTCTGGTTATTGAGAGTATTCAAGTTTTTATACTTGTTGGTTTGTTATTTGAATTACCCATGTCCAAGGCTAGGTATTGAACAAAGAGCATGGCACACTTATTGGTTAGATGAGTTTATTGAGTAAAAGATCGTATTATTATTTGAGGTTGAGTTTGACAAAGGTTATTTTCAGAGTATGGAGTTATTTTACCCTTGAGGTGTATATGTGTAATGTAGTTTCGAACTACATTGTTTTAAGTGAGTTAATTATATTAATTATTCTATTGTTCTTTGTACTTTAATCAGTGGTGATTACTCAGCTTTTTGCTGACATGTGTGTTATTTTGTTGTGCTACTTGTATTTGCGGCCATGTCTTTTTCTTATAGTGGCCCTGCGACGATCTATTTTGGAATTTGTCCTTAATGGTGAGCAGTCAAGTTTATCTAAACAGGTTGATCAAGTGATCGTAGCTAAAGGAGCTCAAGTGTTTCGATTAGTATTTTATAACAAGTTTGTAAAGTTGTATAAATAGCTCACTTAGATTATTGAGTTGTAATTATTGGGATTTTGTAAGGCTTAGCACTTGACAAGTTGTTGAGTGTGGCGGTAATACCTCCGATTTAGGTGTATGCTTCCGCAGTTTTTATTCAAAGTTGTTTATTTTTCCTTTATTTATTATTTATTATTAGCTAGTAAATCGGGGGTGTTACATTTTTTTATTTTTTATTTTTATTTTGTTAGCTAATTAAGTCATAAAGTATTAAAGTATTACATTTTTCTTCAAATAACTAGCAATCTAGGATTACGTCATATCTTTTTTTTTTTCCCCTAATTCTATGAGTTATTTTCCTATTTAAACTTATTCAAATATTTTCAATACAATTCTCTATTATCAAATGTATTACAATTTATATGTCTCAAAAAAACCTATAAAAATTTATGAATACCACTACTTTTTAGATGCATGTGCATTCTTTATTTAAATTTAGTAATCACGATTTACGAATGCTACTACTTTTTAGGTGCAAGTTCATTCTATATTTCAATTAAGCAATTATGGTTTACGAATACTACTACTTTGTCGGTGCATGTGCATTAATGTAGTCAATTACGGTTTACAAATACTATTTGACCTTAGGCTTGTTTGTTTTATCTTATATTTTATAAAAAAAAAAAAAAATCAAATAAAAAAAAGTTAAAAAAACTAATAATTTGGGATAATGATTGAATTGAACGTGATAATGATTGAATGCGAGCATGAGTATATGACAATGACCCGATGATAATCTGACCCAAATAATTTACCTGTATTCGATCATGACTTGACTTGTTTGGACTCGAGAAAGTGGTGACCCAAACTAGAGCTGTTAAAAGGCTTTTATTGGTCTTTTATTTTTCTAATTTTATTATTCATTTGCCTATTTAATCTTATTTAAATGTTTAAAAAAAATTCCATTAAAAAAAACGTGAACTCGGATATGAACTTATAAAAAATAAACAAGTTTAGATAATTTCAAATAAAATAAGTTTAGAAATTTTTTTATTGTATTTTAACTTATCTAAACTAAACCTATTTAATCCGAATTTATATGAACTTATTGTATTTTATCTAAACATGTCATCTTGAATATGAACTTATCAGAAATTATTATCCCTAAAATGAGTGGAATCAATGTGAATAGATTAGAATAGGGTTTGAACTTATCTTCTAAAAATCTAAACTAAACCCATCTTATTAGAATTAATACGAACTTATTATGTAGATCTTATCTAAACTTATTAGAACTTATTACCTCGAAATAAACTTATCTGAAATTATTTCTTCTACAATAAATGAAGTAATTGATAATGATTAAACGTGAATGTCATTACATGAACTGTTAACAAAACGACCCAAAAAAATGTACTTGAACCTGATATGACCCGACCTAAAATCAACCCAATATTTGAGACCCAAACCCAAACATGACCTGACTTGGAAATGATCCGACCTGATTATAACCTGCAATTTTTTGACTTGAACCAAACCCGGTTTGAACCCGAACATGAACCGACTTGTTAATGACCTGACCTGATTGTAACCCGTAAATTATTGACTTGAATTGAGTCCGACTTGAACCCGAGAATGACCCGACTTGGAAATGACCCGACCTGATTATAACCCGCAAATTATTGACTTGAACTGAACCCGACTCAAACCCGAGAATGACCCGACCTGATTATAACCCGCAAATTATTGACTTGAATCGAACCCGACTCAAACCCGAGAATGATCCGACCTGATTATAACCCGCAAATTATTTACTTGATCCGAACCCGAGAATGACCCTAACCGGCGAAAACCCGAATTAAACCCGACCTATTATTCACCCGACCCGAATGTAACCCGACTTGTTATTAACCCGACCTAAACCTGATAAGATGTATACCCCGATGTTACCCGACTCAAGCATGACCCAACTCGTATAGGTTATGACATTAACCCGAAATGACCCAACCCGAGTTGACCCGACCCACACTTACCTGACCCATACCCGACCCGGTTACCCGAATTGATTGCTCTACAACCATCTCATCCGCCGCAACCCCCACCACCACCACATCCGCCACAACCCCCACCGCAACTGCTACCAACGTTGCCATTACGTGTGCTGGCTACAACAGCAGCAGGAGCAAACACACGGCCACCATCTCCTGCTAAAATGACCATATTACCATCGCTTACACATCTACTAATTCCTTTTCCTCCGCCAATCTCAACATCACCATTTGCAGCAGCAACGGATCTCTGCGACAATAAGTTTTTTACCTCCTTTTTCTTTCCGCATCATATTAACAAAATCAAAAGCAGGATTAGAGCAATAAGGCAGCCTATTACTATGAGCGCTATAACATATGCTTTCATCTTTTTCAAATAATCAAGTTATATGTTATATGACTTGTTATTAATGATATACTTTTCCCGTCCAAAAAAAAGTCAAGTCGTAGCTTAACATGCATGAAATGATCAATTGATCGGAATGTTCTTGTATCATTCTATATAATAGTAGTATAGATTAATGAATTATTCATCATGCAATTGGGCTATGACTTTGGATTTATGGTATAAATAAACTAAGAGTTATAAGATTTTGTTGATGTAATAAAATATTTACTTGACTAATTCTGTATGAACAAGACCATAACTACATCAGTGCATACTATATACTCCTAACTTTGTATATGAGAATATGCTCTCACAGTTCTGAATTACTCGTAGTAATTTTTATTGAATTTTAAAAATTTTGAGCTTTCCTAAAAGCTACATCAACAGTTTAAAAAAAAAAAAAAAAGAGCTAGATCAACAACTAAATAGATGCACTTGCATATATAGTTGAATTGGAGAAAGTTAAAATCAGCATTCAACGCCGTCTAATTAACTGCTCACTAGTGAACAACGAACCTTTACAAGAAATAACAGAGCCGATAAGATATTTTTTCGAAAATTTGGCTATTATATATCGACCCTTTCTTCTTGTTTTGTTATTAGTTTTGATAAATCTACATTCTGTGAGTGTACTAAATGCCCATATGGTGGGTTTGGTTGAATTTCAATTTTTTGTTAGTATAGTACAAGTTATTTTTATGGATAAAAACTTAAGTAGAATTGAAAAGGAGGATAATATATCGTATACAATCAGATGAATTAAACAAAAACTTTCTTCACTGTAACTACATATTGATAGATCCTCTCGTCGAGTAAGGCGACAAATCACAATGACATAAAAGGGGTATAAAGAATGTACGACATGCAACAACAATAATCGTAACTTTGCTAAAAGAATATTTTTATTAGATTTGTCATGTATTTGTAGATTTAAATCTTTTTTAAATGTCATAAAACTTTTTATCAATGAATCAATCTATTATTCAAAAAAAAGAAAAATCATTCTATAAAAAGTTAATTAAAGATTCATTAGTTAAAAGTGTTGTTTACAAATATAAATGTCAAATTATTGCAATTAACTCATCACAACCAGTGAACCAACCCCCTAACAAAGCTCTACCATATGTTCTATGTTCTACCAAAAACTTTCTAGTTTTAGTATTTAAACTATGTTCGGTTTCTAGCCAAAAAATAAAATAAAATAAAATAAAATAAAATTATATTATTATTATAATGATGATAAATAAACTAATATAGGAAAAAATTGCCACAATTTTACAACTTTACCATAAATTTAAATTTTATTAACTTCTTCCTCCGTTCTAATAATATTGCAACAACTTGACTTTTACACTATTCATCATGCTTGTTTGACCACACATTATGATTTATAAGTAAAGCAAAATATAGTCATGTGGGGTTTTTTTAGATTCGTCTCGCAAAATACTTTCACAATATCAACTTTTTATAATTTACTTTTATATAATTATAGATATTTAGCATATAAAATATGTTTTAAGATGCGTAATTTCATCCTTGTTCCAATATTTGAGAAAAAGAGGGAGTATTACACGGTTCTTTCAAAACAAACAAAAAAAAAAAATTACTATTACATGGAAGCAATTGTCTCCATATATTTATTTTTATTTTTTTCACCAAATATATACTGCATATTGTCAAACTTGGATATCCACTTACACGATTTGGACACTATTAAAACATTTTGTACACTTGTATTCGCTGCCACTTCAGCCACCACAGCCGCCACAGCCACCGCATCCTCCACCACAACCGCCACAATCACCGCCACAGCCACAGCAACGACAATCATCGTTTTCGGTACCAATAGTACTACCTATGTCGGCTATAACCTCCACAGGAGCCAAAGCACGGCCACCATCTCCTGCTAAAATGACCATATCACCATCTTTTACACTACCTGTACTATTTGTTCCTTTTCCTTTGCCAATTTCGACATCACCAGTTGCTGCATCAGTACTTTCCTGCGAAGTAGTGGAGATTTTTCGTTCCTTTTTTTCACATCTTATTCTCAGAAACAGATACAGGATTAGAGCAAGAAGGCAGCCTAACACTATGAGCACTATAAAATATGCTTTCATCTTTTTCAAATTACAATTGGATGCAGTTTTTCTAATATGATCATTACAAATTTTAAGAAAAAGAAAAAAAAAAAGCAGTGAAGGTTTCATTTAAGGTTGGGAATTGAAGGTTGTGGACTTTTAGAAAAAGTCTTATGTGAAGAAGACTTGAATTGGTCAATGTATAATTTGTTAGGTTTTGTACTCTATATAGAGTGGATAGGGGTGGGACTATTCAAACCGAACCGTGAAACCGTCCGTTACCGAACCGAACCATCACGGACCGAACCGTTTATAACCCGCTAATTTTAAACCGAAAACCGAACTGAACCGTATAATGTCAACTGAAACCGAACCGAACCAATTAATGTTAACCCGTTACGAACCATAAACCAATAACAAACCAAACCGTTTATAAACCGAAACCGTTTGAACCGATTAATGTTAACCCGCTAACTGTTTAAACCGAACCGTTTATAAACCGAAACCGTTTAAACCGTAGGAAAAAACCGTTTAAATCGAACCATTTACAACCTGCTTACCGTTTAAACCGAACTGTTATAACCCATTAAACCGTTTAAACCGAACTATTTTCAAACCGCAACCCGTTTAAACCGATCTGATTACAAACTATTTAAACCGAACCGTTTACAACCTGTTCCATTCAAATTGAACTATTTATAGCCTTTAACAATTTGTTAGAATTCCACGAAATATATTTGAGTTTAATGTAATTTAACAGTACAATTTTTTTTACATATAATTATTGATTTAAATTTGTAAATTTTTTTGCTATTATAAAATTAAAATTATATTCTTGTATAACTAAATTAGGAGTTATAAATTAAATAAAAAAATGAAAAAATTTGGCCACCCACCCAATCCAACCACCCTCCACCCACCCACCACCGTAACCCACCCTAACACCACCCCCGCCGTCACCCCAGACCCACCCTAACACTACCCCCCACCCACCACCGTTACCGTAACCCACCCCCACCCCACCACCGTTACCGTAACCCACCCCCACCCCACCACCGTTACCGTAACCCACCCCCACCCCACCAACGTCAACCCAGACCCACCCTAACACCACCCCCGCACCCACCATAATTACCGTAACCCACCCCACCCCACCACCCACCGTAAATAAAAAAACCCAGACCCAAACCTTACCCCACCCCATCCACCACCGTCACCGTAAATAATAAAAACCAAGACCCATACCCCACCCCACCTACCACCATCACCGTAACGTACCCCACCCCACCCACCACCGTCACTGTAAAAAAAAAAAAAAAAAAAAAAAAAAACAAAAAAAAAAACCAGACCCAACCCCAACCACACCCACCACCGTCACCGTAACACACCACACCCCACCCCATACAAAAAAATCGAAAAAAAACCCAAACCCACCGTAACCCCACCCCACCCACCCCCACGAAACCCAACATCCTTGAAACCCCCCAACTCACTCTAATTGCTCACCCACCATAAAACTCCCTCCCTCCCTCGAAAAATCCTCTCTCCCCACCCACCCGAACCCAGTCTAACCGCCGCCGCACCCATCCTAACTCGGCCCCCTCCGTTGCCCACAACTTGAAAAAAAATTAAAAAGAAAAACTAAAATAAAAAAAGGAAGAACGAAAACACCTTATATATTAATCCTGAATTTGGCCTCGAATTTGGTTTTAAAAGGCCAAATTTGATCATGAAACAACTAGATCTAGAGTTTCGTGGTCGAATTTGACCATAAAAACCGTCGTGCGTGTTGCCGGTGGACGGAGACGGAGAAACGAGATGGAAGAAAGGAGAACATAGACGGAAGAAGGGGGAAGAAGGAAGAAGAAGAAAGGAAGAAGGAAGAGGATATGAGAGAGAAAACGAGAGAGCAGTGAGCATATTATTGATAATATTACAGAAGAGGATTAAGAAAACGAGAGAGAAATCAAAAAGAGTACTAAAGAGACGATGGTAAGAGTGATCTGATTGGTGGAAAAGAAAACACACGGATCGTGAATTGGAATGTGTGCGATGATAGGCCGTTAGATGACATGAAAATCAATGGCTGATATTTAATATAAGACGGTGACACGGATCATGGGATAATGGATTTGGATAGTATGGTTTTTTTATTCATAGCTACGTACTAATAAAAACACTATTGTACTCTTAACTTTATGTAACTTATAAATTGTAAGAAACACAAATGTTTGGAAATTGGAATTGATTCAATATGACATATTTAATGTATATTAGTTATATGTATATCAGTATATGTAATAAATAATAATGTATGGTACGATTGGTATCATACTATCATTGGTATGTATAGATAATCGATAAATGTATCTGATTATTAAAACTTAAAACAGTTGATGATCGATCTAATTGAATACTTCTACTTCCCCACCCGTTTTCTTTAACTTGCAAGTTGCAACATATATATGTTGCAGCCTTGTAGGCACGTAATCTTAAAAGGTGATTAGAGAGGGTAAGACAACAGAGTAATTCAGCAATATAACTTTAACACCAAAATTATGGAATAGTTACAAACAATTGTCAATTATTACTTTATTAGACTAATGGGAAATTGAATAATCGTGATTTTAATTAAACATCCAAATATAGTTCCGTAACATTAAATTATTAGTTTATTACAATATCAATTATCGATTTATCGTATTCAAAGTACCAATTCATCAAATCATGGTTATGACGCGATCTTTAAAACAATTAAAACAAGAAGCTGATAGCCTGATAATATTTGATAATGAAACAATAATACATTAATCCTTATAAATTTGTAATAGACTAATATTTAATAAACAACAACAAGACTATAACCAAATTTGAAACATAACACATTAACATGATATAGAATGAATGAGAATTTCTGTAATTCTATATAATCTGATATCTGAATCGATTTATCGTATTCAAAGTAGCAACTCATCAAAACATGGTCATGACACGATATCTAAAACAATCCAACAAGAAGCTGATAACCTAATAATATATATTTAATAATGAAATAATAATACATTAATACATTATAAATTTGTAATAAACTAATATGATAATATCGAATAAACAACAACAAGAGTATAACCAAACTTGAAACATAACATATTAACATGATATAGAATAATTGAATAAATGAAGATTTGTGTAATTGTATATAATCCGATGTCTGAAAATAAAGTGACGAAGTCCCAACTTTATATAAAACGAAAATAGCTAACCGGTCAAAAATCTCTTAAAACCCAATTTCTACTCGATCCATTATTTTTTTCACCAACCTATGCCGACCCGCTAATGAAATGGAAATACTAGTCCCAACTTGATATAAAACAAAACGCGCTAACTGGTCAAAACCACTTTTTAGAACTCGATTTCAACCCGATCCAATTTAACTGATTACCAAACTAACCCGAACGATTTTAGCACCAAACCGAGTATAATCCGAACCGATATGAATCGAACTAGCATTAACCCGGGTAAACCCGCCCCTGAACCGACCCATTTCAAAATAATCCGTTCATGACCCGAACCGATATGAACCCGGACCGACGTTGACCCGGTAAAACCGCCCCTGAACCGATCCGTTTCAAACTGGTCAGATCATGACCCGAACTGTTTATAAACCGAACGGGCATTGACCCGGGTAAACCCGCCCCTGAACCGACCTGTTTCAAACCGACCCGATTATTAACCGAACCGTTTAAAAACTGAACCGACATTGACCCGAGTAAATCCGCCCCTGAAGCGACCCGTTTCTAACCGATCTGACTATGACCCGAACTGTTTATAAACCGAACCGTTTATGACCCGAACCGAATTTAAATCGTACAAAAATAAACCGAAATCGAACCGACCTGTGACTAATCAAAACCGAACTGAACCGACCCAGCGTCTAAATGAAACCGTTTTAACCCGAACCGTTTCAAACCGAAACCGTTTCAAACTGAGGTCAAACCGAACTGCCAGACCGAAGTCCCACCCCTAAGAGTGGACAACTTCTAGTATTTATGCATGTAGATGGCATAAGTCTTAGTGTGGAAAGGAACTCCACATTAATGGATTGTCGGTAAGTGAGAGCGACTATGGAAATATCTCAATTGCGTGAAGGAGTGCTAAGTTGTAGCAGTGAGGGACGAAGTGACAGAGAAGCAAATACAATATTAGTGTGAGGGGTATTAAAGGAAGGAAAAATTAAAACTAATAATCCAACGTTTGCTCGATCTTTCCAAAACAATCTCACCTTTTAATATTCCCAAAATAATCCCAACTTTAACATCAATCTTCTTTTAACATGCCATGACCATTTTGATAAGTTGGTAACCTGTTGGAAAAGGTAACTTGCCACGTGTCAATTTTCAAATTATTAAAAAAAAAAAAGTCTTTCCCTCTTCCCTTTCCCCGCCTCCTCCCATGGCTTACCAGCCACCTTTTCCTTCCTTTTCCATAGATTCACCAACGCTGCCAAATAATAATCGACTACCACCACCAAACCACCTCGTCTCACCGTCAACAATAAACCAACAGCAACAACAGTCCCAACAAAACACAACCAATCAGCCCCAAGTATGAAAAAAAATAAAAAATTGGAGCTTTTTCCTTCAATTATTCTGAATTACCTCCTCAACAAATAAAAAAGTTTATTTAATTGGATGAATTATATGATTAATTAAAATGATTTTGTGTGATTTGATAGAGTGATGATGCAGGTTGGGTGGGTGGAGTTATTGTGGTGGCCGGACGTGGGTTTTGGTAGGTGGTGTTAAAAGTGTAGGATTGATTATGTGTGGGTTTATTTGGAGGTGGAGTGGTGGGCAGTGATAGACTGGCCGGAAGAACAAGTATTTTCAAAATTTTGAGTGGGTGGAGGTCAATTTAAGGGGGTGAGGTGGGGGCTGTCGTGGTGTCAATAGTGAGTCGGTGGTTGTGGAGAGGGGAGAGATTTAAGAAAACAACAAAAAATTAAAAAAATTAACCTATAAAACAGGTTATAGGTCAAAAGGATTATTAAAAGAAGATGAGGGTCAAAGGTGGGATTATTTCTGAATTAATTGAAGGTGGAATTGTTTTCAGAAGACCAGATAAAAGTGAGATTATTTTTTTCCATTTTACCTTTAAGGAATAGTAAAAGTTTTAAGGGTATTCAGCGTTGATTGTCCTAAATACATTATATATGATATTGTACATAATTAGATAGATGCACTTGCATATATAGTTGAATCGGAGAAAAGTTACATTACAATATTGTAATTCAGTAATCAATGTCGTCCAATTAACTGCTCACTGGTGAACAATGAACCTTTGTAAGAGATAACAGAGCCGATAAGATTTTTTTTATTTTATTTATTTTTTTATTTTTGAAAATTAAGCTATTTTCGAACCATTTCTCCTGGTTTTGTTATTAGATTCAATAAATCTACATTATGTGAGTGTTGTAAATGCCCCTATGGTAGGTTTTGTTGAAGTTCAGTTTTATGTTAGTATAGTATAAGTTGTTTTTATGGATAAAAACTTATGCATAATTGAAAAGGAGGATAATCACTTAAACGGAAAATTTTCTTTAGCGGTAAATCACAACAACATAAAAGAGGGTATAAAGAATATATGACATGCAACAACAATAGTAGCTTTGCTAAAAAAATATTTTTATTCAATTGTCATGTATTTGTAAATTTAAATCTCTATTAAATGGCGTATACATTTTTATCAACGAATCAATATGTTATTAAAAAAAAAACATTTTATAAGAAGTTAATTAAAGATATCTAGTTAAAAGTATTGTTATATATATTACGAAGTATTATTTTTGAATTTTTTATGATTATACAAAAATGATTGGTAAACCAAGCTAGTCATCACTCATCAAAACCAATCCCTTAACAAACCTTTAAGGGCTCTAACATATACAAAGTATGTTCTATGAATTATTATTATTATTATTACAATTTTACAACTATTCTATATTTTTTTTAAAAAAAAAAAAAAATCACCAAAAATATATACATGTTGTCAAACTTAAATATTCACTTACACGATTTGAACACAATTAAAACATTTTGTACACTTGTATTCGCTGCAATTCAGCCGCCACAACCGCCACAGCCACCGCATCCACCACCACCACCACCATCACCATCACCATCACCGCCTCCGCCACAGCCACAACAGCAGCAATCATCGTCCTCGGTTCCAATATTACTATCAGCAGGAGCCATAGAACGGCCACCATCTCCTGCTAAAATGACCATATCACCATCTTTTACACCTCTACTATTTGTTCCTCTGCCAATTTCGACATCACCATTTGCAGCAGCAACGTTTCTCTGCGAAGCGGAGATTTTCCGTTGCCTTGTCTTTACACATAATATTACTAACAATAACAAATATAGGATTAGAGGAAGTAAGCTGCCTAATACTATGAGCAGTACTATAGCATATGTTTTCATCTTTTTCAAATTATATTTGGATGCAATTTTTCTAATATGATCATTACACCTTATAATATATGATTATTGATTAACAGTGTAATTTGTGTTGAAAAAAAAATGCTACTCTTTCTTATACTCTAAGGGCAGGACTATAGAAAACTAAGTCAAGTCATATTAATTAAATGTTCTTTTATCATTCTATATATATAGACTATTGAATAATTCATGCAATTTGGCTATGACTTTATTATATACTATAGAGTTAAGATTTTGTTAGTTGTTGAAATAAACAATTATCTACTTGACTAATTCTGTATAAGCAAGACGAAAACCATAATATACGCCTTTTGTGTATGAGAATAGTCTCACATTTCTGAATTAGTATTTTTTTTACAGTATTTTTCTTTATAAATCTTGAGCTTTCCAAAGAGCTAGATCAGAAACTAAATGGACGCACTTGTTCAATTGGAGAAAAGTTACATTAGAAACAATCAATAGTGAAATTCAGTAATTAACGTATAATTAATTGCTTTGAACAACCGATACAAGAAATAATACGGAGCCAAAATCATTATGAGATATCTAAAGAGTACATGCAGTTCAATGAGAACATGCTGACCAATTATGCCATATAATTTAACATGTAGAATGAATGTACAAGTACCTTCATATAATCATATGATTCTTTATCAAATTTGAAAATAGAAACCGTTCATTATTACTAGACAATTAGACATTGAGCTACCTAACTATAACCAATAATTAGCTTTGATTAGACTACAAATATTATATATTGCATGAATTTGAGTGATTCACACTCTTGCATTACTTTACCACAATCAAATTTTGTAGCGAGTTGAGTATTGATGCATACTAGATTTAATCCTAAATGTTGGTTATCTTTTAAAAAACTTTAATCAAATAAACGAGTTGATATTTACTAGAGAACCAAAGTTTTTAGTTGTGAATGAACTATACAAAATCAGTTGGTACTGGTGTACTACTTTTTTTTCTTTCCAAGGGTCAACTAACAACATAAAACTAAAGCTGCATGCATGAACTAAACACTACAGTGCCACCCTACTTTAGCAGCCGCCACTGCCACATCCGCCGCCACCGCCACATCCGCCGCCACTACCACACCCGCCACCACCACATCCGCCGCCACTACCACACCCGCCACCACCACATCCACCACTTCCGCATCCGCCACCATCACATCCACCACCTCTGCCACCGTCATATCTGCCACCGCCACCACCGCATTCAGCTTGAGAAGCGGATATCATAGTAACTGCACCCAAAATAGCCATATCGCCGTCTGTTACACCTCTACTTGTTGGCATCGCTGTAGGTCTACTGAGCTCAACATCGCTCGATTTTGATGTTTCTTTCTTCTCAGACAGCAGCACAGACATATCAACAAGGGTACGCCAACAAGAATGCAGGCATATACTATCAACGCCACAATGTCATCTTTTTCCAATTTCATATTTTACAAATTTGTAAAAGTTTATTAGTTTTATAAAGTCACTGATGATTAATGTATGTTACTTGACCTGAAAACCAAAAAGAAAGAAAAAATTTATGTTATACATGTATTACGTAATTGTTTTAAATGATATGCACAAATTTGACTACTCATTTGTATCTTGAACGAACACATCTCCAACGAAATTCTTTAACGTACAATCACAAACACATGAAAAAAATAATAACTTGATTATTATAAGTCCTATGGATGATTTAACTGGTTATACATTGAAAATTACTCTCTTTAACCATTATCATCTTTTTTATATACGGACGAAAAACTATTATACTATAAGAGGTTAATATTTTGGAGATATAATTTGTAACAAATATAATAACATCTCACAAGGCATATAATTTGGAGAACAATAAAATTGAAAATAGTTACTTAAGGAAATTTGGAGGAAGATATCATGCAAGAATTCAACCCTAAAATTATGGAGTAAAATTAAAAGGAAATTAAAAAAAGAAAGAGAGAGAAATAAATTAATTAAGATACCTAAAGAAGACCGGTGGCGCGGCAGTGAAGCAAGGCCTAGACAAACGACAGTTTCTGTGAGGAAGAGAAAATTGACACTAGCAAAAGCAAGTGAGGGGAGATCCGATCAGAGCAGATAATTAAAGTGGAAGTTTTGTATGGCTAGGGTTTTAATTATGGGATAAATTTATCTATATAGAATTAATAATATATTCCTTACAAAAATACTTCTATACTCCGTATTTCTTAGGTCCAGTTAGGTGTACGTGTACATATACCCTTCCCTCCCCCTTCAACTCTCAAAGGATCTAGCCCGTTAACCTGGCCTGCTGGCCGGAATAACCTGTGAGAAGTTTTAACCGAGGTAGAACTCCTTCTTACCTTAATAATAATACCATATACCGTGATTTATAGAAAGATTAATCAATTATTAATTAAATACAAATATTTTTCAACTAGCTTCGAGCCTTTGATTAGATTACAAACATTATATTGCAGGAATTTTTAACGGGCTCTCATTTATGCGGACGTGATAGATTATAACATATATTTCGATAAGTCTAACAAAAGTAACAATTATAATAAGTTTTATGCTCTATCACAAGGAAATCATGTTTTTAGCGAGTTGGGTTGTAAATAGTGATGTATACCAAATCTAGTCCTAAACCTTAGGTATCTCTAAAAAACTAACTTAGGGTTTGCTTAGTTCACCTTATTATTATTATTTATCTGATCTGATATGGTCTAATATGATCTGATTTGACTAAAATTTGACCTTATTATGGGTACGATAATCTATAAAAAAGTAATAAATCAATTGGGGTGTTGTTAGATTCATATTAACGTGTATTTTATTAATATGTAATTTTTATAATTTTTTACATTATAAAATTAAGGAAATTTTGATTTTTACCACCTTCAAATAACGACTTTATTGAATTTACCACCTCCAAAAAAAAAAAGATTTACTTTACCACCTCATAAAAAAATAAAACATCAGTTTTACCACCAATCACCTCCAACTAACGGATTTCGTCCATAAATCCGTTAGTGGGGCCTACCTTGCACACATGTCGCCATATTATTGGGTAAGTTTAAAAAAAAAAATTAAAAAAATCCCCATTAATCAACCGGTGTTGCTACCACCGTCGGGACCCCCACCGCCGACCGGCCACGACCAGCCCCCACCACCTAACCTCTACGACCAGCCCCACCACCGCACCGCACAACCACAACCACCTTTCCACCAATTTTTATTTATTTTTTTGCTCTGTTTTCTCGAAAGCCACAACAATGGCGTCTCTTCCAATGGAGTTAATCACCTCCATTCTTTTCGATTACCCACTAAATCACTACTTCGCTTCAAATGCGTTTCCAAGGCTTGGCATTCCTTAATCAATCAGCAGCACCCATTTAATCAGACTTCATCTCGCTCATTCTCTCTCCTCTGACCGTCGTCTTCTTATCCTCAACCATGGAAGTCACCTGGAATCGACTCCATTGAAGTGGGGTTCTGAGCTTGATGCTAAAAACGATTGACAAGGTTTGATTTACCCAATTCTTTTTCTGGTTTTGAGGTTTCGATTTGTGGGTGTTGTAATGGATTAATTGCTTTGGTTTGTAGAAATGTTGATGATAATCAATTTGTATCCCTGTTGTTGGTGATTTGGCTTCTTAGTTTTTGGCAGCCACCAAATCCCGACCACCCATAAATCCCCTTCTAATTCCGACCACTCTAAAAACCCTAGCCACTACCAAATTTCGCACTCCTAAAACCCTAACCACCACCTAATTCCGACCACCTCCCTAACCCACACACCAAATTCCGGCCCCTCCTTAGTCACACACGAAATTCCGACCAACCGAGGTAGTTGATTTCGTTGCTGGTTGGTTTACACGAAAGATCGGGGAAGATGAAGAAGAAACGTCAAAAAGGTGGGCCCTACTAACGGATTCGTGGACGGAATCCGTTAGTTGGTGGTAAAATCGATTTTTTGGAAATTTTGTTGGTGGTAAAGTAAATCATTTTTTTTGGAGGTGGTAAATTCAATTAAGTGGTTATTTGAAGGTGGTAAAAGTCAAAATTTCCTAAAATTAAAGTTATTTAGCGAGAAAAAATAAGTAAAAATAAGTTGAACTAAACAAGAACTTAATTAAATAAAACTACGTACGAGTACTACAAAATCAATTGGCAGTCTTGGCACTGCTATATTTCAAACACATAAAACTAAAACTGATGAACTAAATAACACTACAATGCCGCCCTACTTTAGCAGCCACCACCACCACATCCACAACCGCCACCTCCACATCCTCCACCGCCACAACCAGCTTGATGAGAAGCGGAAATAATAACACCAGCAGCTACAACACCAGTAGCTGCACCCAACATAGCCATATCGCCGTCTCTTACACCTCTACTTGGTGGCTTCGCTGTAGGTCTACCAAGCTCAACATCACTCGATTTCGATGTTTCCTGTTGTTTCGTTCTTCTCATACAGCAGCACAGACATATCAACAAGAGTACGCCAATGCAGGCATATACTATCGCCCCCACAATGTCATCTTTTTTCATATTTTACAAATTCGTGAAAGTATAAAGTCACTGATGATTGATGTACGTTACTGGACCTGAAAAACAAGAAGAAATTACAGAAAAACTTTATGTTATACATGTATTACGTAATTGTTTTAAATGATATGTACAAATTTGACATGAAACAAATAACTTGATTGTATGTCCTATGATAGTATAACCGGTTGCACATAGAAAATTACTCTCTTACCATTATCATCTTTTTTATATACTGACCGAAAAACCCACTGTTATTATTATATAAGAGGTTAATATATACTTTGGAAATATGATTTGTAACAAATATAATAACATCTCACAAGGAATATAATTTGGAGAACAATATGCAAGAATTCAACCCTTAAATTATGGAGTAAAATTATAAGGAACAGAAGAAAGAGAGAAAAATAAATTAATTTAGATACCTAGACAAACGACATTTTCCGTGGGGAAGAGATAACTGATACTCAGGGGCGGATCCAACATGGATTCATTACTGATTTTTTGAAAAAAATTGAAAAGTTTTGTATTTACAAAAAAAAAAACAAAAAGAGGAAAGGATTAAATAAAATATTTGTATAATATATGTTAAGAAATAAAACTGCAGCCTATCGATTTTTTTACCTCCCACCAAACACGAGGTCGTGGGTTCAAAACCCATAACTCACATTTTTTTTTTCTTTTTGTTAAACAGATCCTACAGCTAAAAGGCTCTGTTTTACCACTTTCCTCCAAATTCTCAAACCGACAAACCCTAACTCCTCTAAAAGGCTCGCACAACCCAGACGCCACTGCCCCGCTGCCCGCACGTAGGCCGGCGACCGCCTCACCGTTCCCGGCGCTCCGCACGCCAGAACCCAGATCGGAGTCCAGGCCCTCCACCGTGTCACCGTGAGCTGTTGCGGATTTGCGCCTTTGCGGCCTTGCGTTGCCCACTTTGCCGGTTTCCTTGAAGGCTTTAATTGTATGTCGTCTTCTATCTAGTTCTATCTGGCCTTCTGGGTTAATAATATATAAAGTTTTTGGTTTCATGATTTTTGCAGATAATTACGTGAATACGTGGTGTTTGAATGTGTGAATGTGTGATGAACTTTAGCTATCAATTTTGGGTTTTTGGGTGACTATTGTCTATTGAAAAAATGGTTGAAATTGGGGTCTTGGGGAAGGAAGTATCTGATTTACATTTACTGATTTAGGGTTTGTAGATTGTAGAAGTAGTTCATTTGTTGAATTGTTGTCTGTTGACTTGAATTAGTGTAATTTGTACAGCCTGTACTTGAATTGTTGTTTGTTGAATTCTTGAATTGTTGTCTGTTGAAGTGTTGAATGTTGATTGTCGGTTGAAGTGTTGATTGTCTATTGTTTTAGAGTGTTTATCAATGATTCAATGGAGGTTGTTTTAGGATGTACTACATTGTTCTCATGTTCTGTAATTAGTGTAATCTGTACATTGTTCTTGATTTCTTGTCATGGGTTATCGTCGATTTTTTGCAGAAGTCGATTAGAAAGGGATAACCAGTGCTCGGTGCTCCACTGCTCCATCATCCACTCATCCATATTTCGTGGCTCTGTAGGTGAATAACTGAATTTTTATTTCTTAATTTCATATATTTTACATACTATTTGTTTTGATCTTGAATGAATGAATTCTTGATAATAAATTATGATGTATTGATTTTTATTATCTAAAAAAAAATCTGAAAAAAAATTGTATACAATTGCAAAGATATTCTTCTTCTTAGTTTGCTGTATCGCCGTATTGCCGTATGCAAAGATATTTTTCTTCTTGAATCTTGATAAATTATGATGTATTGATTTTTATTATCTTAAAAAAAATCTGAAAAAATAATTTTATAGTGATTGTTTGAACTTCTGTATTGTATTGCCGTATTGGTGAGTGGTTTGCTTATTGATATTTTTTGGTTTATTTCTTTCTCGTATCCATTCTTTCCAGTTTCCAGTTAGCCTATTGTTGCTGTATTGTTGCATGTTGCTGTTAATTGGCGAGTGGTTTGCCGTATTGTTGCTGTCAGCCACTTAGCCTATCATTGAAACTCGTGAAATTTATTGAGTTACTTTTGGTCTTTACATAATTGTATGCAAATATGCAATTCGTACATAATTGTATGCAAATATGCAATTCATTCCATTGTAAATTATGATTCTGAACTTTCGAAATTTCGAACCCCCTATTTGGAAATCCTAAAGACGCCACTGCTGATACTAGCAAAAGCAAATGAGGGGAGATTCGATCACAGCAGATAATTAAACTATTAAAGTGGAAGTTTTGTATGGCTGGGGTTTTAATTATGGGATAAATTTATCTGTATAGAATTAATTTTATACGGATTCACTAAGATCATAAATTCATATACATTCCTTAAAAAATAGGAAAAATTGGTTTAATAATCCCAACTTTGACTGATTTTCTTTAAATAATCTAACTTTTAATTATTCTGGAATAATTCCAACTTATATAATTATCTTCTTATAACAATCCGAACTTTTTGTTTTTGTAATATATAATAGTCCCAAAAAGGATCAACAAAAGCAGCAAAAATAAGACTTCGGATTATTTTAGGAAGATATAAGTTGGGATTATTTTAGAATAATCAAAAGTTGGGATATTTAGGCCTGCTTACTTCACCTTAAATAAATAATATTAAAAATAATTTCAGTTGAGTAAAAATTAGTAACTATAAAGAAGAAATATAATAGGGAATCAGTAAAAATAATTTCAGTTCAACAAAAATTATTTTAGTTCTGTAAAATTATTTTCAGTTCAGTAAAAATAATTTAGGTTCAGTAAAAATAATTTCATTTTGGCAAACATTAGGTGAAGTGAATGGGGCCTTAAAGAAAATCAGCGAAAGTTGAGATTATTAAAACCAATTTTCCAAAAAAAAAAAATACTTGTATACTTTGTATTTCTTATGTCCAATTAGGTGTATATATACCCTTCCCTCTCCCTCGAAGTCTCCAACTAGCTCACGAAGGGCCTAGCCCGTTAATCTGGGTCAGATAACCTGCCCAGTAGAGCTCATTCACCTTTTTTTCTATTTTTATTTTTATTATTTTTTACAAGGAGCTCATTCACCTAAAATATATATAAAAAAAATGGCAAAAGCTAACGAGCGCCTCCGGGGCGTTAGATAAAAGAGCTAAATTTGGAAATATTATAGTAAAATTAACATTAATTACACCGATCGATGCGTAATTTTGTCATGTATTTCGAACTTTATACTATTTTAAGTAATATATTAATCCCTTATTTAACGTCCCGGGGCGTTGGTTAGCAAGATCCAAAAAAATATACATATATAAACCATGATTTACACAAAGAATAATCAATTATATATCAAACACAAATATTTTTCAATGCCTACCATAAAGTTGTAACTTTTCTATCCGTCTCTAAATGTTTTCTCCATTTGACTTTTCATAGTATCCAAAAAACACGTCTTAAAATGTACTTGATTTTTAAATCTTTCCATTTAATACTTATGTGATCAAACTTATAAAACTTTAAATGATTATTGTTAGATTTGTCGCAATTTGTATTTTCATAATATCAAATTTTCATACATTTTCCTATAGTAAATAAGTAATACCAAAAAAAGAAAACCTTTCGAATTCACCTACATCTACAAACACTTGAGATCCGGGTGTATATGAAAGGTATCGATCTGGTTTTGGACCAATGCACAGCCCTAACAACATTTTCGTGGTTCAATCACTAGTTCACTACCAATCATGGCAATCAGTCCACCCCAAATTTAAGGAGAGTCGAACTTGCGATCTCCGCAAGCTCTGATATTTCTTCTACTTATTATTTGCGATTTTTTGAGCATTTTCTCTCTCCTCACAAACCACTGAACTTGTTCATCATCGTCAATCTTCATCCCGCTGTATCCCTTTCAATTTAATTTATGTAAGTTCATTTTTCCCCTCATTTTTTTTGTTAATGTCACTTCATGGGTTTTTGCAATTACTTATTATTCTTGGTTGATTGAATTTTTTTTCCGCCTGTTATAATGTGAAAATTCAATGTAATTTTTTAATTGTTAGTGAATTTTCGGAAATTTCAGAGTTATGATTATATAAACATGATTGATATATAAATTTTTATATTAGGGTTATTGCAAAGGAGATTACTCCGTCTTTGTCAATTTGAGGGAGATAAATTGCAAATTTCGGTTACTTGGAGGAAAGTATACGGTTTTGATTGGATTATGCTATAAATTAGGGTTTATTCAATGCAATTTTGTTGATGGGGATATTTTAAATTATAGTTAGTATTGTTGAGCCTGCTAAGGATATTAACTTTAGTTAAATGAGTCAATGGCATAACGAGTTCTTGTATAATTTCCCATTCCATGGGGAATTTTGTGTTTCGGTGTGCAATTGTGAATACGGTGATTTTTCAACCTTTGCAAAAGAAATGTAAAAGTGGGAAACTTTAATGAATTTGAGGGCGTTTCCTTGAATATTCCGATGTTTATGATGCCAGCTTCAAAATGGTAATTTGATGCTTTAGATTCAACCTTAGATAAATACCCAGGACAAGTTGCAGAGAATTTATAAAATATTGTAGTTATCAGCCTGAAGTTGAATGCGGTCATGAATTTGAAGTTGTAATTCGTTATACCCTTGATATCGTGGTATGGATCAGCATATATGCGTTGGTCATTGCTGGCCTCCACCCCTCCATTTATGATTAGGTGCTGGTGCCTATGTGCATGATTCTAGGGTTGTAGGAAAAAAAAAAAGACTAACGTGTTTTACTTGGTGTTATTGGACAAATAAATGGTGAGAGATAAGGATTTGTAAAGCAAATACATGTAAGGGCACATTTGAATAATTTGATAGGAGTACATTTTTTGTGCCAAAATTACTATATGTGATTAAAAAATTAAGGTTCTGGCTTATTGGACCGTTGGGGATATGGGGCTACACTTTGGTTGAGTGAGTTGTAAGAGCAAAGTAGTGATGCTGGATAATGAGGAATGAAACAACCACAAATTCTAAGCAAACTTCCTCTAGCTAGTTAAAATAATCAAGTATGAATTTACTTTGTAATATTGATCTTATGTGAGCAAAACTTGTGTTTTAGCATTCTTTTTACATGAAATACATAGTCATGTAGTATCATTACGATTGCTCTTTCTCAATTTTGTAGGATCTTATTAGATTCTAGTGATCTGATAGACCCCTAGGTTGTAATTCTACTCATCTCCTATATTGCTCCTTTGACTTGCTTTCTGGTTTCTTTTATATATCTTGTGATGACCTTGTGTTTTTATCTTCTTTTAAAGTTTGGTATGAGTATTTTGCAATACGCTGCAAAGAAAATAATGGTCTGTTTGGATATGTGAATTTCATTTGAAATTTTAATATGGGCCAAATGTCTTGTTTGGGTAATACAAGAATTTGAATTTGTATTTGAGCCAAATCCAATCATTTAAAGAATTAAGTCCAGTTTAATGAATTACAAATGTCATCTCAAATGATGTCATTTCAAATCTTCACCTTAGTAAAAAACGATTCTCTCTCCTAGAGCTCATATCCTTCCCCGATTTTTTCTCTTTCCTCCATTGAAGTAGCTTGTGTGCTCTCAAATAGGGTTTGGTTTTTGGGTCTTTCACTTTTCTGAGGTAGTGTACTCCATTTAAGCAACTTCTGTGCTTCATCTCCCCCATTAAAGTGTACTCTGGATTCTCCATTGAAGCGGCGCAGCGTGTGAGCATTATCTCCTCCATTGAACTGACTTGTGAGCTTTCTATCCTCCATTTAAGAAGCTTTTTAGCTTTCTCCTCCATTGAATTAGCTTCTTAGGTAGTGGTTAGATAATTGAATATCAATTTCATAATCTAGGGTTTATTGTTGATTAGCTTCTAGTATTGTTCATTTTTATTGTAATTTAGTTGATTTCTGTGGTATAAATTGTGTTTTTGATTTTAATGCTTGATTTCCGATTATAAAACACAATTTATAGTAGTTGAATTTTAATGGCGATATTATTGAGTAGCTCATATTTCAGAAATAAATCAGATATAAATTATGATTTCTGATATAATTTTTTCATATGATTTCAGATATAAATTTATTTTCAGTTATAAATTTAACAGGCAATCGAAACATAGAATCTTACATCATGCTTCCCCTGTACATAGAATTTCACATATATGAGTAGTTGAATTTTCTAGTATGAGTAGGTCGTTTATTATGCTTTCCTGTACATAGAATCTTACATATAAATTTGGGTTCATGGTGAAGACTATCTTCAGTGCAAATTGCTCATAAATCAAACTGAATTCAGGGATTAATTCTGTATAATCCCTTATTAACAAGTGGATAACAAATAATTTGCATAATTGTATCATATCCTCCTTGTGTACTTCTCAGATATTCCTATTCCCATCAAAATTTGCATCCTCCTTAATGAGGTCAAACTAGGCTGATTGTATGCATGTGAAACTGGTGGCTCGTGACAAATGTGATAAGCCTTTGATAATAACTACTGTTTGCTTGCTGTTATATGTTTCTTTTTGTGTGTTTTGCAACCTGAGATGCATGATGATAGTTTTTAGGCATTAAGCATGGATAGCTTTGTTTTAATAGGCTATAACAAGGCCTGCAAATTGAGAATGGAAAGGGTCAAAACCTGTTAAGTTTGAGCTTTTATTAAGTTTGTTTGGTTTTTTTTGTTGACGAGAAATGCTACCTTTTTTTTATCTTTCTTGTGGCTGAATTGGGTGATTGAAAGTTCTGGTGACTGGTGAGTGGAGTATGTAGAGGAGTTATGAAATTGCCTTGTACGATGAGTAAAAAAAGTTTTGTTATTTTTTAGCAACATTGTTGAGCAAATCATCAAATATGAATTCAGAATATTAATTTTACGAATGCAATTATGCAAATAAAATATTACTTGTTAGGATTCTATTTCAATTCTAAAGTCCACATAATGCTTGAGCTAAAATGCATGATCTATTTCAATTGTTGTTGGAATGTTGGATTACTTAGATTATTGCTTGATATCGTTGTAATAAAGCTGCTTATCATTTTAGTGTGCATTTGGTGGTTCTAGTTTCATTTGCTTGTTTGATCTGCTAATCTAAGCTAAGCAGTGTAGACCATATTCCAATTTTTAGCTAGCTAGCTCAATGAATGTACTCGTAACCTATTTATATGGTGCTTATTATTTTATTTTTATTTTGTTAATAGATATTAAAAAGATGTCAGATGAAGTCTCTACCTGGGAGTCGTTGAAACGTGTAAGGGATGACGACGAAGATATGGAGTTTAAGTAGTAGTTATAGTTTTTATTATGATAGTAGTAGGTGCATGGTATGGTCAAAAGTATAGGGTTAAGGAGGTAACATGGAATGAGAGTGAGCGTGCTCTAACTAGAGCTACTTGGATGAACACTTTGATAGGATTTGTCGAGAGCAGTTAAGGTTTGACATAAGTTGTTTTAAGAAATTATTTCATATATTGCAAACTAAGGGAGGTTTAGAGACAACAAGAAATGTCATGATAAAAGAGATAGTTGCATTGTTTCTTCATATTCTTGCCCATGATTTGAAAAATAGAACAATTCAAGCTGTGAAAAGGTTCATGAATGGGACAGTTGACGAGTTCGAAATGCTAAAAAACCTACCGAAGGTGGAAAAATTAGATTGGATTTTATTATGTATTGATGATTAGTAGTGTTATGGTAGTATTTATGAACTTTTACTAGTTAGATATAAGTTATTGACATAATTAGAACATTTGATTGTACTTATAGATTGAAATTCCAAATTTGAAATTCTATGTTTTCCCAAACAGTTTTTTTTGGAATTTGAAATTCCAAATTTAAAATTCTCAAATTTCCCAGACACATCAATTGGAATTGAAATCTAGAAACTGAAATTCTAGAATTGAATTCAACAATGTAAAATGAATACTTGATATCCAAACGCAACCTAAGGTAATGCCGTTTTATGATGGACCATCTGGCACATGTGATGCTGTAAGAGTCTTAAATATATCTTTACACTATCTAATATGATAGGAGACCTTCTTTATCCTATTTTATGGTATAGATTTGTAGTGCAACACCATATCAATTCAATTTACATTTTTCGGTAAGAATTTAGTAAGTGAAAGTTTGATGTAGGCAATATGTGATTGATGAGAATTTGTACTAAATGTAGTCATGCAGATGATGGACAGGTGTTGGAGGTAGTGGGCTGTTAGTTGGATTTGTTCATAAATTGTTGCTGAATTAATTTTGAAAAATAGGGTGCAAAAAGTTTATGTTGGATGAGAGAAAATGAGTGCAAGGAGAGTAGGGAAGAAAGGAGTAAGGATAACAAGCTAGAGATTTTGTTTCCTTTCAAAGTTTTAAAATTTGAGAACAAGAATTACGAATTTAGTTTAACTATAGGTTTATTGATCATAGTGCTCGATATTCTTAAAATTCTATGCGTCTGTAATACAATGCGTATATGATTTGTAGTTTCATCTCAATGTTTTTGTATTTTTTTTGAGGAAAAAGATAGGAAAAGTGAGAAGTACCCTGTTTGGTTAGGGAGTTGGGTTGCAATGCTGGGGGAAGATTACAATATGTCATTGAAAGGTAAAGTTTTAGTGATGTTTAGTGATCCTCACCTTTCTTTTTAATTTATCCAGTTTTCTGCTTATCTCTTAAGTTACTCCTTTTAGCTCCTCATGTCTGTTCAACATAAACAACTTAAAAAAGTGTTTTATGTGTTTCCTCAAGTATGTTATGCTGACTGGATATGTTCTAGCTTAGCAATTGATATTCAATGCTTTCCTTGCCATTTGATTTCAGTGTGCTGCACAAAATGCATCCTCCTTTGACATTACACCGGCACCCAATGTGTGTTGAAGTAAGTTGAAACTTCTTCTATGACGTCACTTTCTGATCTTATGTCGTGTTTGTTAGTATCTTGGCACCCTGGTTATATTTATGTCGTGCTTGTTATTTGTAGCTGCTCTAGCTTTTAAAGATTAGAGGTTTTGATGACATCATTGTATCTTGCAGATCATTGAGGCATTTCAGAAATGTCATACAGAACATCCCGTAGGCAAATTTTTTGGCGAGTGCACTGAACTTAAAGTTAAACTTGATCGCTGTTTCAGGCAGGAGGTAATTCTTCTTTTTATATCTTATGTGCATTATTTTCTTTTTTTTTTGGGTGGGTGAATGATCACATGTTCATGTTTTTCCTCAGAAAGCTGTAAAACGAAAGGCGAACTTCGAACAGAGCAAGAAACTGAAAGAAACGTTACAAGCGCAGAGGAAAGAAACAGCCGGACAAAGTTAACAAATAATTTGGGCGTTGCAATTGTATGTTTTGCAGTGATAAAGGGTACGGAGGTCGTGTTAGCAGTTAATTGTGCTCATAGCAGTTAAAGAAAGAGGAGCTGGCACTCTGTGTTATTCTTTGTATTGCTGAATTTGTATTCATTTACTAGAAATATACGAGGATTAGGTGCTGTGATCTTAATTTTTTGGCTTGCGGATATTGTATAGTTGAATAAATGATACAATAAATTAACGTTGGAGCTTTAAAAAATTCAAATATTACAGATCTTGACTGTGTGCTACAGATCTGTTATTTTTAATTTCTTTAGCTCTAAGCAGAAACTTTGATTCAAGGAAATATATATATGTTCTGTTGAGTATTGAGAACTCTTTGCTGCTCATATTCATTTTAAGTTGGAATTATTTGGGTTGATCCTCTAAAGACTGGATTTCAAGAAACTATATTTGCAATCAGTTAAAGGTCTGGAAACATTGAAGCATTTAGCGTACCTACTACTCCAGAAGAGCGGGGTTCTCTTCCCCTGCTCGGTACAGAACTTAATCAGTGATGCAGGGAACATGATGAGGGTGTTATGTTTTTGCCATTGTCAAAATCATCTGTGTTGACGGTGGATGTCTTGAGTGTATCTTATAAAGGTGCTGGGGGTGGTGGCAATGTTGCATGGTGTTGTGTTGGTGGTTAGCGGCAAAGAATATATGGTCGGGTCATTCTCGGGTTCAAGTCGGGTTCGGTTCAAGTCGATTATTTGCGGGTTACAATCAAGTCGAGTCATGTTTGGGTTCAAGTCGGATTTGGTTCAAGTCAAAAAATTGCAGGTTATAATCAGATCGGATCATTTCCAACTCAAGTCATGTTCAGGTTCGGGTCTCAAATATTGGGTTAATATGGGTATCAGGTTGATTTCAGGTCGGGTCAAATCAGGTTCAGGTACATTTTTTGGGTCAGTTTGTTAACAGTTCATGTAATGACATTCACGTTTAATCATTATCAATTACTTCATTTATTGTAAGAGAAATAATTTCAGATAAGTTTAAATTCGAGGTAATAAGTTATAATAAGTTTAGATAAGATAGGTTTAATTTAGATTTTTAGAAGATAAGTTCAAACCCTATTCTAATCTATTCACATTGATTCCACTCATTTTAGGGATAACAATTTCAGATAAGTTCATATTCGAGATGACATGTTTAGATAAAATACAATAAGTTCATATTAATTCGGATAAAATAGGTTTAGTTTAGATAAGTTAAAATACAACAATTTTTTTTTCTAAACTTATTTTATTTGAAATTATCTAAACTTGTTTATTTTTTATAAGTTCATATCTGAGTTCACGTGTTTTTTAATGGCATTTTTTAAAACATTTAAATGGCATTATTCAAAACATTTAAATAAGATTAAATAGGCAAATGAATAATAAAATTAGGAAAATAAAAGACCAATAAAAGCCTTTTAACAACTCTTGTTTGGGTCACCACTTTCTCGAGTCCAAACAAGTCAAGTCATGATCAGGTACAGGTAAATTATTTGGGGTCAGATTATCATCGGGTCATTGTCATATACTTATGCTCGCATTCAATCATTATCACGTTCAATTCACTCATTATCCGAAATTATTATTTTTTAACTTTTTTTTTTATTTTTTATTTATTTTTATTTATTTTTATTTATTTTTATTTTTTTTTTATTTATAAATATAAGATAAAACAAACAAGCCTAAGGTCAAATAGTATTTGTAAACCGTAATTGACTACATTAATGCACATGCACCTACAAAGTAGTAGTATTCGTAAACCATAATTGTTTAATTGAAATATAGAATGAACTTGCTCCTAAAAAGTAGTAGTATTCGTAAATCGTAATTACTAAATTTAAATAAAGAATGCACATGCATCCAAAAGTAGTGATATTCATAAATTTTTATAGGTTTTTTTGAGACATATAAATTGTAATACATTTGATAATAGAGAATTTTATTGAAAATATTTGAATAAGCTTAAATAGGAAAATAACTCATAGAATTAGGGGAAAAAAAAAGATATGATGTAATCCAAAATTGCTAGTTATTTGGAGAAAAATGTAATACTTTAATACTTTATGACTTAATTAGCTAACAAAATAAAAAATAAATAAAAAAAGAAGAGTGATAACGGGAGCATTATTGGAGTCATTATCACGTTCAATTCAATCATCAGTGATTCACTCTCAATCTCAAATTCTCACTCCCATATTCTACCTTCATTAGAGTCTAGCTCTCCTAATTATACTAAAATTTTCTCAGTCGCAAATCTCGCCATTGCCGCCATAGAGTCTAGCTTTCCTAATATACTAAAATTCAGAGATCCACCCATGGCTATAATTCACCACTGCTCGGCTTCTCCCAGACTCACACAATCCTACTCTCAATCTCAAATTCTCTCTCTAATATTCTACCTTCAACAAGGTGTCAAGGAGTGAGTAATCAGTCCAATTTTCAGGTTCAAATTTTAACACCTAAATTTGGGGATGATGCTTCTTTCTTTTGCTGGATCGACTTGTCTTCCTGCATCCAAGACAAAATACTTTGATAAATATTAACATAGAGTAATTTTAGCCTTACGAAGTTTCGACATAATGAGTAGCTTAGAATATATATAGCATATATCTTTATTTAGTATCTGATCTACAATAATAGTCGAGTTGATTAAGGTCGGGTCAATAACAAATCGGGTTGAATTTGGGTCGGGTCAATAACAAGTCGGGTTGACTTCGGGTCGGGTTAGTGACAGATCGGGTTGAAGTTCGGGTCGGGTTAGTAATAGGTCGGGTTAAATTCGGGTTGGGTTAGGAATAGGTCGGGTTGAACTCAAGTCGAATTAGTAACAGGTCGGGTTAAATTCGGGTTTTGACGGGTTAAAACGGGTTTGGGTCAATTTCGGTTCAGGTTGGGTTCGGTTCAAGTCAATATTTTACGGGTTATATTCGGGTCGGGTCATCTCCAGGTCGGTTCATGTTCGGGTTCGGGTCTCAAATACTCGGGTTAACTCGGGTCTAGGGTTGGTTTCAGGTCGGGTCATATCGGGTTCGGGTCATCATTTTTCCGGGATTAGACGGGTCGGTTAATAATCGGGTTCGGGTCGATATTTCGAGTCGGGTCAGCTTTTGACAACTCTACTTGGTGACAAGGATTTGGTGAACCGGCAAATTATAAGGGATGTTGCTGTTGTCTGATGCATTATGTTAATTCCAGGTAGGTCGTGGTAAAACTGGCATTTGCTAAAGGTAATTAGAAAAGGTAAAGGGAATAAACAAGCTTGATTCTTTTATTGTTGTTTGTAATGTAATGTCATTTTAATCATTTCCTTCACCTTGTTCAACGGTCATACCCCCAAACTCCCCAAACTTCTTTTATTGTTGTTTGTCTTATTCCAAGGTCTGACTTACTGACTATTGCAAATTTGGCTAACATTCAGAACTCATATAACAGGAAGCTTCTCGAGTTGAAGTTTCAAATATGACATATTGCCTGATTCATGGTCATCAACATAAGTCGTTTTGATTTAGACATCTAGTTGTGAGAGTTTCTAACAAGCTCACAATATGATCTGACCGGCATGATTCCACAGATTTTAAAATTCAGTAGGTATCGGCTTTTGTCTAGATGTTAATGTAGCTTTGTGAATTGTATGAATAGTTTTTAGAGCAATTCCACCATAATAATTATTATAGTAACAATAATAAACACCTACGCCTGAGATTCTTCATTTTCTATACAAAAATATAAATAGCCTTGTTTTTTAAAGGCTTTGATAATGCCAATTACAAAGTCTGTTCCAAAGACGACCAACATTGTATAACGTTTTCATTAAGCAACTTTCCTTGAAAACTTATCAGTCACCTGAATCAAACCTTTTGACCACAGGCTGACAAATTGTAGGTTGTCTTTTTGACAGCATATCTCTTGCTTATTGAACCAGCCAAACAAAACTCTCGTCTCTTATAAATATTTAAAATAGCTAGTCAAAACCGTGATCTATATTATAATTCATCTTAGCAGTTTGAGAAGGTCAACATTCAAGCAACCAAAGAAGTTGATAATCTGCAGCATAAGAATTGAAAAGCACCATGGATAGATCTTTTCAGCCTTTTCCAATGTTTGCAGGCTTTCCTTCAACAGGGTCCTTGATAGCATCGTTGATCATGATATCTGAGGAGATCTCCTCAATAAGTAATCTTCCTCCGATACAAGTAAAAAACATATTATCCATTACTCGGAGAATCAGACTGCTTTCTCCTTTGTTCACAGAGATGCAAGAGTTAGAAATCCTGCTTCTTCCATCTGCAATCCTGTGCTTTACTGAGTTCTTGTCTCTGATGACAAAAGCAAAGCTTCTGATCCAAGGATGCACTGAAAGTAGCTACCTGTGGAGCCTCATTCAAGCAGAAGTCTTGTCAAAGGAATTCGATGCAATAGTGAAAGATATCAGCAAAGCTCTTGATATATTATTACCTCTACAATTGATCAATATAACCATAGATATTAAAGAACAAGTGGAGCTCGTGTGCAAGCTGGCAAAAAGGGTAGATTTGGTAGTTGATCCCAAAGAGTTGGAAAGAAGGAAAGAAGTACTTCAAATAATAACTACTTCGAAGGAAAAGAATGATAAGAGCTATGGTTTCCTGGACGTAAAAAGAGCAAGAGAGCTTTTGAGCAGCATTGGCTTGAGAAGTTCAGTTGACTTTGCTGAAGAAATCTCCAAATTAAAGGCAGAAGCAACAAGTCAGGGTGGTACAGGTGGACCTATAGTTGTTTCGAGAATAAATAGTCTAATCTCATTACTTTCATATGTCAGGTCTATGATTTTTAGTTTTGAAGATAATGAAACCACTCTACTCTTGAAGCAGATAACTGCTGCAGAAAATCTAGCTGCATCAACATCTTCATCTACTCGAGCAATACTGACAGATGTTCCCAATGAATTCCGTTGCCCAATTTCACTCAAGATAATGAGAGAGCCAGTCACAGTAGCAACTGGATACACTTATGACCGATACTCAATTTCTAAGTGGATCAACTCAGGGCGTAGAACATGCCCGAAGTGTGGGTGGAAGCTAACACACATGGCTCTAATACCCAACTACAACCTGAAGAGTCTGATCCATCAATGGCACCAGGACAACAATATCCCTATAAATGACCTAACAACCTCTTCCTCAGGGCACAACAAAAGGGAAGATTTGGGTCTCAATGCTATCAGATTGACATCAGAATTTTTACTAGGGAAACTTGCAACTGCATCTCCAGAAATGCAATGTAGAGCGGCCTATGAGATTCGATTGCTAGCAAAAAGCAGCATGGATAACAGAAAAATAATAGCTGAGGCTGGAGCAATTCCATTTCTGGTGAACTTACTAAGTTCCCATGAGCCAGCAATGCAGGAAAATGCTGTGACTGCATTGTTGAACCTGTCCATCCACAATGACAACAAAATTTTGATTATGGAAGCTGCAGCACTCCAAAAGTTAATATTTATACTAGAATATGGAAAAACTATGGAGGCGAAGGAAAATGCAGCTGCAACAATTTCAAGCTTGTCAATCATTGATGATTACAAGGCAAGTATTGGAGTACAACCAAGAGTTGTAATAGCCCTGATACATCTCTTGCGAGAAGGCACCACGACAGGGAAAAGAGATGCTGCAACGGCGCTAACTAATCTTTCACTGTACAATCCAAATCAGAGGACAGTAGTACATGAAGGGGCAGTACCTTTGCTTATTAATATATTGATGGATGAAAAGGCAGGAATCACTGATGATGCCTTGGCACTGCTTGCATTGCTCTCAGGATCTTCTGAAGGAATGGGGGAGATCACCAGAACCAGAAGTAAAGATCTCATAACCCTTCTGATTGATGTCCTGAAACTTGGATCTCCTAAAGGTAAAGAGAATTCAGTCATTCTTCTTTTGGCTTTAACCAAAGATGGAGCAGAAGTTGTGAGGCATTTGGATCCCCAAAGCTTTTCATTAATCCGGAGGTTAGTAGCTAAAGGGTCATCTGAAGCTCGAGAAAGGGCTAGTCTGTTGCTCAGATTACTCATCAAATGCTGCTCCAATCCTGCAAATCTTTAGCATAGAAAGAAGATGAAGGAAAATCAAGAGCAATGATGAATTTTTTATACTTCACTTGTAATTAGGGTTCAAAACTTATTTTCTGCATCAATTAAAATAGAATAATAAAAAGATCCAAACTGCTCAACTGTAGCAATTCCGGTTCAGGTGGTGTGGATTCTTATATTCACACCGTTAATAAATACAAATTCTTTTCTTTAATTTGCTTTCATGAAGGCAAGAAGATGAATGATGTGGGTATGAATGCCAATTTGCTCCACTGTGTATAAGTAATTCAAAGCAGTACAAACAAGTACCACTTGAAAGAAAAAAATATATAAGATAATCATAGTATTTAATTGATAGCTCCTCTATGTGATTAATGTCATGAGCTTTTCAGAAAGATAACAGTAAGAGAAGAAACTGCACCAAGAATAAGGGGAAGATTGAATAATAACATTTAAAGAAGTCATGTCACCTTACAGAGCATTGATAAAGATATGTTTATTCTGAAGGCTTCGTCTCCTTCATGTATAGCGATAGTTGGTCCCTATATATGTCAGAATGTAAAGGTATGCCAGAGCTTCAGAAACAATGAGACCTTCAAACTCTTGGAGGCTGATGAATTCAATGAGTTCAACAGGAATAACATATGTCTGTCATATATGACGTCATGTGTTCATAAAAGGAAAAATTACACAGTACTGAGCAACACATGCCAACCTCACAGAACATAAAAAAACACCCATTGATATAGGTAGGATGGAATTAATTTCACTTGAACTATATAACATTACTTCATTAATAAATAAAATTCAAAAACAATTATGATATTATACATATCATGTACAAGCAGAGGTTACATACAGAAAATGTGCATTGAGATATAGAGAGGCCAAATTTAAAGGAGACACAAGCCTTTCTAATCTCTTTTATAGCACATAAGCAAAGAATGTCGTGTGAAGGTTCAACTTCTGTTCAACCAATCAGAGGGTATAGCAGAACATTCATCACCCAAGTTCTTCCGTGAACAATTATTCACATCGGTGGAAGTGAAGAATGCAATTAGTGAATCACAATTCTACCATTTCCAACTTTACATGTGCTCCATCCATCTTGTAATTCCAAAACCAGCTTCCAGTATCTTTCTTAGAGTCTTCGATGGGGTCTAATTGCAAGGATATACCTGAAATAAACGATAACCCCATTACATAAATCTCCAGGAAACAGATTTGTGAGCAAAATCGGTTAAAATAATGGTATTCTCCAATGTCTGATCTTAAACTTTGACTTGGACAGCTTCCTTTATCAAACTTGGGTGTTGGGTCAAGGAATACCTTTGACTTTCCATAAAACATTTTTTTACCCCACAGCCAAGAATTACAATGACAAGAAAATCATAAATCCTTGATTAAAAATGTCAATGAAAGGACAAATGGAGTTTCTCAAGTGAGCCCATCTTTCTGTCTTTGACAATTCATTTAAATCTTGTCTCCAGCATGAAAGAAAATACTAGACATCCGCAAGTAATGAAAAAATATAACTCCCAGCATCCCTTTTTTTTTTCTTTCACCTAAAAAAAAAAAAGCATCCCTTTTTTTTTTTTTTTTCTTTTCTCATTCTGTCTCATCAGCTCTTCTCCCTATATTTTCGCACTAAATGTCTTACTTATTTATCTCTCTCCATCCACTTTCAAATTTTTATTATCTTTATTGGGTGCCTAACAGATTAAACTTTTGGAAAAGTCAAGCTTTATTTTGGAACAGGGGACATAAATAATGTTCAACTAGCAATGACAAAAATTGTCACTACTAACCTGGATCTGCAGATGTAACCTTCAACCTATAACCATCAGGAACCTCAAATAAATGACTTCCCTGCATCATGAACCACATGAACAAAAAGCATTAGATGATAAATTATATGTGAACAAGTGGAACTGCATAATCTGCTTCACATAAAAGCTTTACAATAAGTAACAAAAGGAAGTGCCAAGATCTAAATCAACCAATGACATTTATATCATCTGATGCTATACTCATTCAGTCAACAAAACATTGAACAAAACACGTACAACATCAAAGCTGAATGGTTAACATTCTCCATGCCAAAATATGTATCATAAATTATTCTTTGCACTAAGTCCAGACAGAGTTGCCTCTCCCATTTCTACATCAGGCAGTCATGATAGATACACTAATGAAAACCATATGTCACTCTTTCTCATACAAAGTGTCATCAGTTACGACATGACAGTAATATCATAAATTCACAAGAAATTTTCTGATTAAGTTACCTTGAGAGTAACATCAGTAGCCTCAAATTCAGCATTTCCATGCAGCATAACCTTCAAACACTCATTCCGATGCACCTCGTGCCTCCAGTATATATTCCCTTCAGGTTCCCAGTCAATTCCTTTGTTCAGTACCTTGACATTTTGCAACTTACACCTTGCACATCTAAAGAAATCCATAACATAGGTTAGCTGAGTTTGCATCCTTTTTCTTTTCGTAGGGCAGTAGAAACGGTTGCATAAATCACCTGTAACCATACTCTAACAGAGGTTCCCTACTCTCATCAGTCTTCATAGTGCCCATCACATTTTCAGCAACAATGATCATGCTGCCATCAAGCTGAAAACGTAGCAAAGTCAGCTTCAACAATAAAGATTCTTAAGACTCATTATACTAGCTTCTGTCAAGTAACACCTGAACATCTCTCCAGAAGAACTCAGCAAGCTCAATTTGCAACTCTGAGCCCTTGGAGATGGAGCCTCCATGAAACTGGGAATGAAGACAGAAGGCATAATCAGATATTGTATATGACAAAGATAAATTATTTTACTATTGAATTTGGTAAGAGCTATTAAGCTTCTTGTTATTATGCCCTAACACAAATACACTCACACACACATGCACTTCTGCATGTGGGTGTGAAGGGGTAAGGGGGTTATGTCTGTTTTTGTGGATGCTTGTATGTATTTACGTTTATCTAAAATATTAACTACATCTCCTTAAAAAAGAAGTATTGTTGATCTTAAAGTCTTGTGCAACCAATAGATTCAAGGGGAATGTAGCTAAGCTAACCTTTTGCCTAGAAACCTCCCAAAGAGGGCCCAAAGCAGGATGCAAAAAGATGAGATATGGTGGACCAGAATTAATGTAATTTTCGTTACCTCCCACCTGCAAGATACATAAAATGAGTTCCAATCACTAACATAGATCAAGATGCATCATGTATTACAATTATGATGCCTTTGGTAGTTTCTTCTGATTTCTAATTCAAGGGAAGTATTCACTATTCCTTTCTGATTAAATTATTATCCCATGGCAAAGAATTACTTGTAGGGGCCCTACAAAAAGGGAAATGAATTTCAAGGAAATAGAGAATTCGTTACTTGGTTAGCAACAAATACATTTGAGACTAGCAACAAGGACACAAGTTTGAGCAAATTTCCCGAAGAAAAGAAAAATCCCACTCATCTTCACACAAAAAAATTCACTACCCTAGTTAGTTAATGTATACAGGACCAAGAGAAATATCAGGTCCAACATGAGGGGGCACAAAGAAATTTGGCATTTTGGTGAGCAACATTACAATGGGAAAACGGCTAATTGACACGCAGCTAGCAACTTTCCTAGTTTCCTAGGAACTAAATTTACTTGGGAAAGTCAAGTCTAACAAAAGCACCATAATTATATTGCTTATCATGAGAAGTTATAGGCCAAAGTCACCAAAACTGACATACTTCAGGAATTTTTATATTACAGTAGGAAAGGAGATCATATGCATTCCTCGTAATATCCAACAACGCTCCATCTGGAGTCTGCAAGAAGCAGAAAAGATAATTAGCTCCTTCAATATTAAGCCATGCTTAAGCACTTAAGGCTCCATATCTAAGCCAAGCAATACATGGTTGCATCACTGCAGAGGTTATACCCCAATACAAATATACAATAGTAGGCTCATTGACTATATTTGTGTTCTTCTAGGTCAAAATTTCCATTGCTTATTTTTATTATATGGCACACAAAACCATAGCATTAGTAAAAAAAATCATGTCCTACTGAGACAGAATTGTTTAATTTTTATTCCATTAATAATATCACATAATCACTTGCACATACAAATCAATATATCTTTTAACAGATCAATAATAACAAATAATGGACTTCAGCATTTAAATTGAAACAAGCCTTTATTTTTGGGAGAGGGGGTAGTTTACCTGGTGTAGCGACTTGCCACCCAGCCTTCTTTTTTTCTTGGCAGATGAGGTGACCCTTCTTCGTTCATTATAAACCATAAATGTATCTAGGACATCTGCTATAGTCAATTGATATTAGAAACATAGATATGGAAAACAGAAAGTAATGAAGGTTAGGCTAAACTCAATACTAAGAAGGAAATAGCAGACCTTCCTTTACTCCATAACACCGAGATGGATATGTATTGCAAAAGTTGTCTGCAATATTTTGCATTGTGCATTCCAGCCTGCCACCAGAAACACTGCTAACATGCACACAAGAGGTACTGAGAACCATACTAAAGTTAAGCCTCCCTGCCTTAACTTGAATTGACTTAAACTAAATGGGCTTAAGTGATCCTGCTGCATGTAAGTGTGTGCATACTATAGAGGCACCGCTTCAACTTTCATTTCTAATCTGTTTGTAACATATTTGTGTTTTTGTAGCAAGAATTATACCTGTGCTTGATGCCATAATGGTCCACATATTCAATTTGTTTTTTGATATTTAGAACCAATCCTGGTAAACTGCTCTCATCATTGCGTGATCCGACTTGCTCCGCAGAACGCAAATCAACATACAAAATGTTTGTATTGGCTGGGAAGTCTGCTAGTGTGCTAGGGAGGTAGAAATCAGGATAAACATTTTTTAAAGGTTAGAGATAGAGTAACAAGCAAGCAATTACAGATATACATACAGAGGGATTACTGTATTACAAAATTAACTCATCAGAAAGAAGATTTAATACATTTATATACAGCATTTTTACCTCTTTGATGAAGAAGCTGCTGGGATCCCAAATTTGTCAAACTCAGTGTATTCAATGCATGAAAATCCATAAGCCCACTTGCCGCTTATTTCCTTTTTCTCAACGAGAACATTAATTCCTTCAGTAGCCCCGGAAGTCCTCTGACAAGATGCAAAGCCTAGTTTCTGCACAAATAGCAAATATAAGTAAATAACGGTATAAACACATGAGGCACAGGAAAAGGGGGAGGAAAAAAAAAAGATAAGACAGATGCCACCAATTCTTCAGAAACATAGAGTTTGTCCAATAACCTTTTACAACTTTTTTTTGGTGGTTTATTCAACAGCTGCCATCTCAGCAATAAACCCAAGCAACAGATCAATAGTCTCCCAATAACGTACCTCCTCGGTTCACTTTTAGTTGCAACACTTGAAAATTTACACTTTTCACATTCTTAAAATTGACCTTTATTATTGATTGATATGCTGAGCAAAATATAGTCATGTGAAATCTTGTTAAATTCGTTTCAATTCATACTTTCACAATATCGAATTTTTATAATTTTTACTTATATATAATTAGAGATATGGAGGGTTAAAAGTAGGCATTGGCAAACGGAGGAAGTATAACATTTTACCAAGAGATAACCCTAGGAAAATTCCCATAGAACAACCAAAGATTCACAGCGTATGGACCTATTTTGAAAGATTACCATGATTCTCAACCACAAAACTCACGGAATAGTTCTTTAGAATGAATTAACATCTATTTAGTGAAAGAATTTGGAATATATTTCATTTAGTTAAAAGAATATGGTTGAGGCATTGAAGTTGGATTACATTTTCATAGAGAAACAGAACTTATCAGTTAACCACAGCATATGTCACTCTCAAAGTTACATCATTCAGGTGTCTACAGTTCAGCCCCATATTACTTCCAAATTACTTCCATGTCAAACAGGATGCTTAGATTGCTAACCCTAGTTGGAAGCAATACACAAGACAAAAGAAAAGGCACAAACTTTATGTCATATAAACAGAAAATTGGTCAGCCAATTGAATGGTTAATAAAAAAAAAAAAAGGAAAGAAAGAGAAGACTTCCCATCACACAATCATATCAGCAAAAGGCAAAACAAACCTTTTTGTGGTGCAAACCAACTCCAGCCAAAGCCAGTAGGGTAGAATCTGTTGCAGCCACAACATTACTGCAGTATGATTTAAAATGGTTATGTGCGGAGAAGAAGGGAACAAAGATAACAAGAGAAAGAAATTAATGTCAGAACTTAGATCATGAAGATAAGATTCCTAGCAGACCTGACTTGCCGAACAGTTGCACCTCTACGTCCATGATTGTGAAACCATTGGAAGACACCTTTATCATAAGCAAGCTTCCATATTACCCCATGACCTCCAGGCTTGCAAACTAAAGTAAACGGTTCAGAAACCAACCATTCCCCATCTTTGGCACTGATGGCTGGAACAAGAGGCTGGCAATACGTATCATCAGATTGCTTAAAACAAAACAAGCTGAACATCCAAAGAATTAACTGAAGGAAAAAGCAAATTACACCTGCTCAAACAGTTGAAATGTTGATCGACCTCTTCCAAACCATTTAAGTTTCTCACAAAGTGAACAGATGCGTTCATGGTTATTCTTTGCAGCACTTGTCATGATGGCAACGGGGGTGATGCACTGTTGTCCATATAGCTTGAAATACAAAAATTCTCTAGCCTTGAAGTGTATAAAAGAAATCACATATTAAAGAAAACGTAATAAGTTATGCTGAAGCATAGGAGAAATTACAATCAAGATAGATTAAATGAAATTTATGCAAATAATTTGAGATTGATTACTAACGTAAGACATCAATCTTACCTGGAGATCCCTAATAAGTCCTTCCAGCAAAGTCCGTCCACAGTAAGGCAGCATAGCTGCAGGAAGACATTCACCCGTTTCAGAATCAACGAAACCAAGCCTATCCGCAGAGCCACCCAGAGGATAGATTTCACCAAGATATGGCAAACCCTGAAATAAATCAAGTGATAAACAGCCTGAAACATTTTACACATTCATCTTCCCATATAAAATAGATATCATCAGCAAAATCCCAACCTCGATTCCCCATATAGCTGCTTGTGATGCATACTCTGTATTTCTTGAAAGGTCAACCCCCTTGGGAGAATGAATTTCAACGAATTGGCATTTCATCGACTCTTTCATGTGCTGGGAACTATTCATGGTTTGCCCAGTAACTGACTCAGCAAGAAGCTCTAAGACAGTTAACTGGTATCTGCCAACCAAATTGTGTCTACATTACTCAAAATTTTAAGCAGAAAAATGGCATGTTGACTCTGTTATGTTATTAATCACCCAAAAAATGCATGAAGCTGAATTATGCAGAAATTAAAAACTATTAGCATACATTCACCAACATTAAGAGTGACTATACTGTTTTAAATATGAGACATTATATGAATAACCTCTAATACTTGCACCAGACAATACCAAAGGTGAAATGCCCAAATATCCATCTAGAGAACAGGACTTTGATCCAAGCTTCTTAACTCTAACACTAACCACCACCATCACTCCCTCCCCCCCCCCCCCCCCCCCCCCCCCCCCCTCTCTCTTTTTATTCCCCCAAAATTCTAATTGTCTTTCAAATTATATGCTGGGAACTTTCACCAAAATCCCAATCAACTAGAATTAGAAGGCTATCATTCCAAAAACCAACCACCAAATACAGAGTGGAAGGTGACTTGAATATCACAAATCCACTTATTTCCATATGATTTTAGAATGGAACCTCACTTGACTTGTGTTTGAGTCACCTCTCCTCAGCCTTGACCCAAGGCCTAACATCTGATATCAAACCTGGACTAAGAATTGATTGCGATTTTTGAATCAATGTTATGTGGCATACATGAGGAGGACATGGCTATCAGACGGCAAGAAATATTGGAGCTAGGTACAGATGCAATTGTGGGCTACTGGACTCATGGTAAAGTTTGATGTAACATGTGGATGTAGAGAGGAGCATGGTGGCGTGGTTATGAAGGCCTTCGGAGGTAATAATCTATGGTACTCTTGAAGGATCAATGGGTTATCCTGGTAGAAGCACGCATAAGAACCAACTTTCACATACACTGTTTTATTCCTTGAATCCAAACTTCTCTAACTTATACCTAGTGGGACTTTGCAGCCTATGACTTGTTCTCACATTTTGGCTTGCTCACATTACAGTATTACAGTTATTACACTAATACCAAAAATCAATTGTGCCTTTTGGGCTACTAAGATGTTTCATTTTGTAAAGTTGTCTCCTGTCAGCCCATGGTTTGAGCATAAAATCGTCAGGAGCTTATTAGAGATCTCAAAATCTATGGTTATTTTCACATACTACTATACTAGCCAATGCTTAGATTTATCTCCACTCCAAAGTCCAAACCTGTCATACAGTCTAGTTAGTTGCTAGTTGGCAAACGAAACTCCATGTCCACCCTTTATTTCTTTGCTATGCATATTCGTGCCAACGCACAAATTGGTCAACAGCATAACAATTTGGAAACTCTATACCATATTCAATGGAATCCCCATAGTGAGCTATTGGCCTATAACTTAATTACCTATACTGTTCTACCCTACAAGACAAATTGCTCCAGATTAAGATCCAAAAAGTAATTGAGGATAAATTTCTTGTATTAATCTCCACAGTAAACTTCAACTTTGATGTTCATGAATTCATAAGCAAACCACACTCTTTGCTTTTTGATCACTCATCCATTTTGCATCCCTCCTCATTAATTATACAACTTTGTAACAAAACAAGCTCACTCCACAACATTGTAATTGTGTTATCATGTTACACAATTTGCACAAGTAAATTCAGATTTCAAGTCTTGAAACATGATAGTCGCAACTTTTCGTCTTTTGTGTTAAATCAAAGGTTTCCAATTATATTCAATTTTCACAGCAAATACATTACTTCAAAAAGACTATAAGATTGCAAATTAATATCATAGCTAAAAATCAAAGAATCCTCTACCTTAATTCAATTTTCTGCATACACACATTCCAGCTATCTTCATCACTCATTTGTCATCATCCAACTAACTAAAATCATACTGCTGATGCATAAATGCCATAAAAAAAAAATAAAAAAAAACCACAATAACACGAAGTTGCGAAATTGAAACTTTTCCAAATTAGGAAAGCTTACCCAATAATTCCACCAATGCAATCATAAAACCTTTCCATTTCAGCCAAAGTCTTCAACAGCTTCTTCAGAGCAGCAACTTCTTCCTCCATTAACTTACTCATCCCCATCTTACCATTCCCTGCACCACCTCCCACCATATCCCAGCTCTCAATCATCTCCGCCAACGAAAACAACGCACTCTTCAACGAACTTCGACTACTCTCAAATTCTCTCTCCTCCTCTTCTTCCTCCACTCCATAGCTAATTACATGCTCCTGCCCCGCCGCAACAACACATTTGATCAAATACATCTCAAACGACTCCAATTCCACCGATTCCAAAACCCTAGAAATATCACTCAGACTCGAATTGAAGAATCGGCTAACTCGCGAGTCATTATCAATGACTCGGTGCTTCCTATCTAAACTCCCTGCATTTGATAGCTTCAACTTCAAGCTTCTTAGCCGAGCAATCTCCTTCTCGAAATCAAACTCCGGCGCCGGAGTCGCGTACCCCACCGGCGCCGTCGAAACGCGAGTCACCAGCTGCGAAGAAGCCGAGGACGAAGAAGAAGAGAGAGAATGAGAAGAGGAGAGAGAAACGAGGTTGAGTTTACGAAAAGGGAGGAAAGTAGAAGAAGTGTGATGATAATCAGTGAAGTAGGAGAGAGAATTTCTACTCCTGTGATTGTGAGAAGAGGTAGTGGCGACATGGCTAGTGTGCGGTGAAAGTGAAGACGCCATTGTTGAAGAGAGGAGAGAGAAAATGGAAGGTTTAACAATGGCGGAAGGTATTTAAAGAGAGGAAAGTGGAGGGAGGGATAATTGGATTTTGGGAGGAGATGCTGGAAGAAGAAAAGCATATGCCGAAGAAAATTGGAGGGGAGGAAAGAGAAAATGGGTGTTGCCAAAACCATATCTTGCTTTCTACTTTCTGATTGGTTGTGTGATTTTGGTTTCGTTTTGGGGGGTCATTCTGTTGTGTGCTTTCTACACTTGTACGGTTGTATGCTTGTATCATTGTATCTCTCTGTTTATTTTTTTATTTTTTAGTTCTTTATAATTCTGTTGATTTAATGTTAATTTTTTCGTCTGAAAATTGTTTTCTTGGTTTGTTTTTTCTGTTTTTAAATGGGTTGGGATATTCGGGTATCTTTGAGTAATTAGTCGTTTCCTCCATGGAGGTGGAGTGAGATTTTTGTTTTTGGGGGTTCATAGAATTGTTACATAGAGCAATAATAATTCTGTCTAATCGATTTCTTATAAATTGTTGCATAGAAAAACGACATTGCTTAAGGTTATTGATTGAACATTATTAATTATTTTGAATGATCGAAATAATTGGTTACAATTTAACGAGGGACAACATTTGAGTAGATGATATGGAGTATTATTCATGTTTGAAGTTTTCAATTTAATTCAAAATGTCTTATTTTAATTAAATGATTGTGGATATGTGACATATAATTGGTTTGAGATTGGAAGTTAGATAAACATATATACACAAAACAATAACTGCCTCACTTGGTAAAAGTCTTATATTAGATTTTAAGATTTAGGGTTCCAATCCTATCAAGAGTATTTGGAGGTAGAAATCCCCTTTGCTCACTCCAATAGGAAACTTCTATGGAATATAGTATCTTGTTAAAATTATAAGAAAATGTATTTTGGTATAATTTTATTTAGTTATGATAAGTAATATTTTACAATACGTTAAAATTTCTATGATCAAATGTTGCATTTGGTTACTGTGCGGACAACAACCCCTCCAATTAGATACGTGAGGTCGTGAGGACTGTGGACTGAGATGGTTTAAATGTTGCAGCAAGCTTACTAAACTCTTTGTCCCAAAAAAAAAAAAAAACGCGTACTAAACTCGTGAAAACAAAATGTCCTTTGTAGAATTTTCGACACAAGGAAAAAGAAGCTAGGACGTTAAGGGCCTTCAGTGAGGGTCCTGGACTTTAAGGAAATTTTTATGGGCTATCAAATCGGGCTTTAAAAAGGCATTGCCCACTAAATATAGCCCAACCCAATAAATTCAAAATTGATGAACAAGTAAACCAAACAAGCTTGAATGCTTGATAACAAAGAAACATTTTCTTTGCATGTTAATTCTGGCTCATGCAACTTTTCTATTACTCCTTTTTAAATTACTGTATCATCCAATAAATTTGAGTCCTAAAATGTAAATTAGTGTTATGAAATATTTGTGGATATTCATTATCCTCCTTGTATCATTCTGGAATATTCTAGATCTAGGGTTTATTGTTATCTAAGCAAACCCTAGTTATATTGTATATATATATATATATATATATATATATATCCGTACTCTATGGAATAATAAGTTGATCTATTCTCTCTCCATCAATCATATTTTTCTCCTTATTTTATAACACGTTATCAGCACCATTACTCTAGATTGATTTCAATATCAATTGAAGCATCTCAAACGACAATCAAAGTAACTCCCAACATACTCTCAAATTTTCCCCAATACTGCTACCTCTTGATTTCACGAACACCAACCAGAAAAAGGTAATTTCCCAAACCCCTCTGCCGAAACCATCGTTGCTCTGCCGATACCACCGGTTCTTGTTCGTCGGGCTTGTTTGTACTCGTTCTTGCACTTCTAATTTTAAGGTAACTAGTATTATCCCTTAGATTAGATTTCACCTAGTTTAGAATGCATGATTTAGGCTTACCTTGTATAAAATCGGTTTTTAATTTGACGAAATTATGGACTGTTTTCCCCCTACCGATTTTACGCGACTTATATGCATCATGAGCCTGCTATCTTCCAGTTTCTTGTCTAATTTTCAAGAATCAAAATCCATGTATAAATTATGATCATTGTAGTTGATAGCTATTTGTGCATTTCGGTTTCGTGGTGTATTTATATCACTTGGATTTGATGATTTCATGGGGTTTATGTGAAACAGGGAGTTGACTTTCATAACTTATAATGATTAAATTAGTTGCTTGAATCTTAGTTTAATTGGGTCATGGTTTTAATTGATATAATTGGTGTTTTATGAAGTATAGAACGGTTTCGAGGAGTAATTTAGAGTGAGTTGTTGCCTGCAATTTGTGTGAAAATAACATGGGATTATTACCTTGATATAAAAGTTAATAATCAGATTTCATGTGTTGTGGCGTTGAAAATTTGTAGAAAGGTGTAATCAATTTGATAACAGTTAATTAGTCATGAGTTTTCCTAATTCTTGTTTGTTAATTTGGTTGATTAATAGTTTTCTCTGGGTGTTACTGGTATTGACTCAAATTAGAAGCCTAATTTGGGTGATGGTGGATTTTATTAGTGATTATTACTATATATATATATATATATATATATATATATATATATATATATATATATATATATATATATATATATATATATATTTCATCTTAGTTCCTAATTTATAATATTGTTTTAAATATCAGTGAATCATGTTAAACCTTGCAAAACTCAAATTTAATTTGTTGCTCTTGATATTACTGGAAACAACTATTTTGTCTTGGGTGTTAGATGCTGAAATACACTTAGAAGCAAAGGGACTTGGTGATACTATTAAAGAAAACAATACTGCAACAAGCTAAGATAAGGCTAAAGCTATGATATTCCTTCGCCATCACCTTCATGAAGGCCTTAAGACTGAGTACTTGACTGTTAAAGACCCACAAGTCCTTTGGAGTAATCTAAAGGAAAGGTATGACCACCAGAAAACTGTGATATTACCAAAAGCTCGTTATGACTGGTTACATTTAAGATTACAAGACTTTAAGTTTGTGAGTGAATACAATTCAGCCATGTTTAGAATTACATCACAATTGAAATTATGTGGAGAGAAAATCACGGATGCAGAAATGTTAGAAAAAACATACTCTATTTTTCATGCAAACAATGTTGTCCTGCAGACACAATACCGTGAAAAGGGTTTTACAAAATATTCTGAATTGATATCTTGTCTTCTTGTGGCTGAGCAAAATAATGAACTATTAATGAAAAATCATGAATCACGCTCAACTGGCTCTACTCCATTCCTTGAAGCGAATGCGACATCCCATAGTGGGAAAGAGCAAAAGGATAGAGATCACGCCAGCAGTCGTGGTCGAGGCCGTGGTCGAGGTCGTAGTCGCGGCCGCGGACGTGGACATGATCGTGGTCGAGGTGGTCATTTTAGAAACTCATACTCTCACCAGAAGTGGGACAATAAAGATGGAAATAAGAATGAGAAGGATAAATATGAAAATATATGCTACCGTTGTGGAGGAAAAGGCCATTGGTCTCGTGTGTGTCGTACACCAAAACATCTAGTAGACCTTTATCAACAATCAATCAAACAGAAAGGAAAGAAAGTGGAAACAAATTTGGTGTACGAGGATGGCGAAGGTGATTTTGATTACGGTGATAAAACTCACCTGGAAGCAGCTGATTTCTTTCCTAATTCTGAAGAAAATAATTGAATAAATTATGATCCATTGGCGAATAAACTCTATTAATTAGCTTGCATTTATTATAGAATTTTATCGTAGTACTATGATTTTATGCTTTATGGGACATTTGTTTTTAGATATTTTTTTTATGTTATCGGATATTTCATTATTATTATTATCAGTCATTTATTAATTTAAGTTATTTGGTTTAGTGAATATTATTTTAGTTCCTTTAATTCTATTACAATATTAATTTGTGAATTTTTAGTATAAAGGTTCATATAATTGGGCAAGAGGAACGAATATGAGTCTTATAAGAATCATTTTACTTTGCTTGATACATGCATTGATAAAAGAATTTATGGCTTAAAAGGTGCAAGAGATTTAAAGGTAGTTGGATTAATTTAATGCCCCCACATGCAAGGATTAGGGGGAGATAGTATTTATATCATTATTTTATGTAATCCTTGCACATAAATAATAAAATATATTGATGGTTAGTTTGATACATACATTAACTTAAATATTAATGTTTTATTTAATAAAAGTGGCCACATGTTAATTAATATATTTCAAAATGATACCATCCTGAAGATGGATATGAATAGATTTCATCCCTAAAGCACGCCTAAAGCGTGGTAGCCATAGCCGAGCCCAATAGATTTCGAATATAAGAATCTTCAAACAGAAAAAAAAAGCAATTATTGACAATAGCAAATTTGAGGAAGTAATACATTTTGATAGATCTTTATAGAGATTATATTTAGTAAAACGGATATGTATCATGATTATATAGAGTACTCTAGAAGAGTATAGAATTATCCAACAAGCTTAGCATGTATCAAGATTATAGTCAAAGCTCCAGCAGAGTATAAAATTTTAGATCAAGTATTAGTTGATTGTCTTGCCAATTACATAAAGAAACACATTTTGGTGTTCTAATATCACATCATATTCATGGTCATGCATAAAGTAATTTAAGCAAAGTGGTCACTAGTGTTGAAATACTGACTAGAGTTCAAATTTAGAGAAGGGACTGGATGTGATAATTAAATTAGACCATCCGGGTTTAATAATTACCCGTTATAGAAACTTGAAGTTTCATTTGATAACGTGCTGACGCTCTCTCAATGTTGCATATATGAAATGAGTTAAATGGCAAGACATAACATTGAGATTGAGCTATTATGGAATAGTGATTTATAATAATTTGTATTGATGAAAATTTCAAGAGTAATGGGTGACCAGAAGTTCACCAGAATAACAAATATGTTATTGTCAACTATTAGGTGACCAAAATCTCACCAAATACTCTATTTAAATCTTTAAAGATCTCAAAGATGACTACCTAGTAGAATTCCAAGCAAGTGATTTATGCTTGTATGATAATTCTTTTGATTGGGGCTATTATATGTCAGCACATAAGAAATTGGAAAAGAAAGAAAAACGTACAACTGCATGACACATATCTCCCCATTGACATTGATCTCCAGAAGAGAACATATTATGGAATGTGTTACAATAAATACACATGCAATGTAAAGTTAATGAAGAAATGATTCTTCATTGAAATTGTTCTCTAGAAGAGATAAAACTTGTTTAATACAAATCTTCAGAGATAATTATTTTGATTGTGATCCTCCCAATGAAAAGAATTTATTGCAAATTTGTATACTAAGTTGGTATAGAATTAGACGCCCCTATGAATAAGATATTTTACCAACTTAGGGGGAGAAGAAATAGCAAAAGTTGGAAAATCGGAAAATATAATTGATGATCCCTATAAAAGGTAGTTTGAAAAGTTATATGCCAACTTTTGTCTATATATTATCAAGATATGTTGCACATTTATGATTTGATTTGTATTTAGTTATGACTCATGTTGCATAGCGTTGAAGATACTTTTTGGTCATATTATGTGTATACATTGAGATAAAATCTTGCCAATGATACTTGAATTACTACACCTGAAGTGTGGGTTGTATAATCGGTTCCAAAATAAATGATATGATATGTGGCAAGATAGTGCAGTTAACACTTATAATAGGTAATAGTATATAAATACCATAGTGTATAAATATCAAATGGTGGTATAGATATCTGAATTATTACAATAGATGGCCTATGATGTAAGAGAAAAAAAATTAATGATGGTACCAATGAAAAATGTATTCAGATATCATTGTCGAAATAGCATGTAAATTACAACTTCACCCTGAGGAATTATATGATGATACCGGTATATGATGGAACCGACAAATAATGCATATGCATGATAGAATGGACTAGTGAATAAGGGATCTGGAATATATGTCCATTTTGATGTTGACATATAATGATCAAAAGTTTATTATGGACCAGAAGTTCAATGAAATATGGATTTTAAATCCACATTGTACAGTGTCTTGCATTATTTTGAGTCCTATGTATGTTTATATGCATGTATAAGTCATAGGTTAACGGATTGTTCATTGCATATGTTAGTAGTTGTTAGATGCATTACTTATTGTACATTTTCCTTAATATGTTATCATGTTTTATATATCTCATATTGCATGCATTAGTTTCTATACAATATTTGTGGTGTATGTGCATGTTCATTCAAAGTATAGTAAAGCATATTTACAACTTTGATGGAAAATTAGAAAGACATATTTATATTCCAACGGGCTTATAATTATGATGAAATTATACATGACGTTGATCTAATATTATTTATGAATCATGTAAGAGAAGTTCCCAAAGAACTTATATGCAACGTATTTATAGCCCTACAAATTTTATATCTTGAATATTGCAATTATTATCAAACTCTTGAAAAGTCTATGTGACTACATCATTGATTTCTCAACCTGAAGTTTGAGCATATGTAAGTTAGTGAGATTTGCTTTTGTATTTGCAAGAGAGCTATCGTGTCAATTATGAAACATTTAGGGATATCAATGGAATACTTATGCGTGAGAATTTTTGCTTATGGTCCAGAAGAACCATGATTAGCGTATCTAAATACATGTGTTATATTACAATTCATATGAAATTGAAGAACGACATTAATAATATCAAGTTTTGTTATCAAATTATTATTAATGAATGTTTGATCAAATAATGATCATCAATTTCTATTATTCCCGACCTCCAGAAGAAGGCCTAACCGCATAAGTTTAACTTTTAAAGTAATTTTATTCAAACAGAGTTTGGAATGATTTAGAGATAAATACATGTATGGTGAAATGAAGACACTGCACATGTTCACTTGAAGACTTGGAGATGCACTTTCAGTTTAGGAGGATCGAAGACCAAGAATGATATTTGACTGCATATTAGAAGATATCCAATCATATTGGATTCATTGTTGCGGCACTAGAAGATCTCAGGTTATGTATTCATCAGGGGGAGAAAATACGCGCTGCACTCTTTTTCCCTTGACCATGGTTTTGTCCCACATTGGGTTTTCCTGGTAAGGTTTTTAATGAGGCGGCATCTCGAGCGTATTACGAAGAATGTTGTACTCTTTTTCCTTCATTAGGTTTTTTTTTAATCCCACAGGGTTTTTCCTAATAAGGTTTTAACGAGGCACACTCTTCGATAATGGACATCCAAGGGGGAGTGTTATGAAATATTTGTGGATATCCATTATCCTCCTTGTATCATTCCGGAATATTCTAGATCTAGGGTTTATTGTTATCTAAGCAAACCCTAGTTATATTGTATATATATATATATATATATATATATATCCGTACTCTATGGAATAATAAGTTGATCTATTCTCTTTCCATCTCTCATATTTTTCTCCTTATTTTATAACAATTAGCACCAATTTTTTTTTTTTTTTTTGGTAAATAATTTAGCACCAAAATTAAGTATATGCACTTCTCAAAATCTAGCATTTATGAAATTCTAGCCAATCTCAACTTGTGATTAAAACTCAATCCTTAGGGATAGCTTTCCCTACTAATACTATACATAATTATTCATAAATAAAAAGGTTAAATAAGTAAATAAGAACATAAGATAAACTCAAGGTTTAAGTTTACAATAATCCAAACACATGGATAATTACTTATAAATCCTATATTAGATCTATATTACAAATTAACAATAGTGCTATAATATTAATCCTATAAATTCTACAAAACAAATTCACTATTAACCTCCATAATTATAATTCTCACAAGAAACAAACATGGCAACAAAACTCAGCACCATGATGATCATCCTTACATTCATACTGCTCCTTACTACCGTTACCTTAACCACTACCTTGGCCGCCACGCAACCAATAACAGCCATTTACGTGTTCGGGGACTCGACAGTAGACCCTGGCAACAACAACTACATTCCGACGGCCCTCTTCCGGGCAGACCACCAGCCCTATGGAGAGGACTTCCCTGGCAGAATCCCAACCGGCCGGTTCTCTGACGGTCGGATTGCGCCAGATTATATAGCAGCCTCACTCGGTCTAAAAGACTTTATCCCGGCTTACTTGAACCGGACTGTGTCAGACCAGGAATTGTTGACCGGGGTTAGTTTCGCCTCGGCTGGGTCCGGTTTAGATGATCTAACGATTGGGATTACTCATGCACTTGATCTGACGGCTCAGGTGAATTACTTTGAAGAGGCTTTAGGAAGAATGGAGAGAAATGTGGGTCAAGAGAAAACAAGTTGGACCGTAGAAAATGCCATGTTTTTAATATCGGTTGGATCAAATGATATGTTGAATAATTATTTTGATTTGCCGACTCAAGCTTTGTTATACTCACCTTCGAGTTACTCGGATCTTCTTATTTCTAGGCTTCAGTTTATTATTCAGGTATGTCATTGTTACGCATTATAAATACTTATTCTTCTTTTTAATTAGTTGATTAATTGTTTGGTATGTTAACTTGATTTTACTATGTTTATTATTTTTGATTCCCATTTTATTGTTGTTGCATGTTCAGTACTTTTATAATGTTATTAGCTAAATGTTAATGATAGTTGTGTGACTATTGTCCCAATGTCCCGAGCGAGTCTTTGACATAGATATC